AAAATAAAAAAATCACGAAATGTTATCTAATATTTTTTTTTTACTAAACATAGACATCACTTTCGGGAAGTTGAGAGTTGCCCCTATCCGATGATGTTGTTGGTTTGCGTGAGCGTACTTCAGTTCGCGTGTGATGGGCGTTAAAAAGTTTGTTTACAAAACCTTTTGTGCCGTTATCAAATGTTACGCCTGATGTGTTCTATCACACTGATGAATTGAATTATTCCCACTTTGCTTGAAATTCAATCAATTTGACATTAAACTTAGTTTAATCATATCGAATGATTAAAAATTAATCCTCTCTTTCTAAAAAATAAGCATCTGATAGTAATCCCAGTTTAATCATCGAAAAATGATTAAAATTTATTCAAAACAAGATAATCTACAATCTAATTGTAGATTTTTTTTTAAATAAACTTTAATCATTTTTGATTCTATTTTAATATATTTTTATTGGATTTTAAACTTTTTTAATTTTATATCAGTATTGAAAAAGAGTAAATTTTAATACTGGAAAGATTATTTCGATTTTAATCATGCGGGGGGTTTAATGTAACCAATACTAATACCTTTCTCTCTGTTCTTTTATTCGTTTTCTATATCCCTTCACCATCACCCCATATCCCATCATCTTGACGAGAGATGAGTTACTTGCATGGTGCATGCCCAAGTCTTACTACAGGATAATATGCTGAGCGTGGTTCTATCACAACAACCACGCAGGAACGCAAATCGATACAGCAGAAGAATAATGAGGTAAATTCTACACAGTATTTTAAAGGAGCCAACTCTAAGCAGGTAATAATAGCAATTAATAATCAAACAACCATTAAAAGGTAAGAATGAATTTATTTATTTTAAATACAGTAATGACGCGATTTTGTCAGCCCCTCCGCGCTTCAGGCTTTTTTCTTTCAATAATTGCACATACCCATAAATCTATTTTTTTCTCATTCATCGTTAAGAGGGATATTTAAAGTATACTTTGGTGCAATAGGTTCAAAAAGATTACCGAAAAAGGGCATGGGTTTTGTAGAACATTGGAATACATTTTCAAAAAAGGAGGCTGACGAAATCGGGAGATTACTGTATTCCATTTACATTTACATGATTTATCACATATATATGGTCGAAATCTAATAAACAGTTGATCACTATACGAGCCTAAAAGCTGCAGTGACCTAGTGAGCACCATAGCTCGAGTCGTCTGAAAGTATTGTGTATCGCATGGAGAGCCCAACCGAGATGCTAGCCTATTAAGACTGCAGTTGGCCAACTCTCGAAAAAAAAAATTATCCCTCCAAAATATGTGTAAAATAAGAAAACTTGTAACACCTTTGAACGCCGTTTCCTCATTTCCAGTTTATTACAGATGGGACTGAGTTGCTGTTATGGGCAGTATAATTGTGGGATAACTGTAAACCGAGCCATTTTGTTAAATTATACTTTGAGCTTGAGAAAATGATTCCTGTAGTTTTGCAATTGAAGATAATTTAACCACAAATATGATCGCAAATTTGTGACTGCTTTACGACGTTTAAAACAAATTATTGAATACTTTTGTTTTTTTCACTAAATATTATAAACCGGCATTTTTAAGACATTTGAACCGGGAAAACCGGGAATTTCAAAATAAAAATTCACTGGCTACCCTGTAGTAAAGTTTGCATAAAATTTTGGGTTGAAGAGCGAAGAAAGCCGAGACACGGTACTGAAAAATATATTGTCGCGCTCAGAGCTGGTAAATATCATGGCCGTCATGTGAGAATGAGAAAACAGGTCCTCTCACTATCACGAGACGAAACTACCTATCATTAGCTTTCTTGTCATTTTCCAATGATCAAGCACTCATGAGAATAGTTCTATTGCGAATTTAACATCTACATTTCTAACTCATTTAGATTAATTCAAGCAAGTAACCGTATGTAATCGAAAGAGTGAATATATTATTACGATTTTCTCGATACAAGTAATTTTAATAGCAATAAATGAGCTAGTAATTACGATGATCACAACACTGTCACGTTTTGTCATGACGAAAAATTCGATGAGATTTTGAAGAAAATCTCTATCATCGTTTTCTCATCCGATGATAGTTTTTTTTTTTTTTTCCTTTGTTTGTTTTTTCCGTCGATCTTGTTTTCCGTGCTGAGTACCAATGCTACCGACGTGCCAGGAAGGCAGCTCTCCCACACCTGGACCCTACCTATCGACCCATCAACTCATGAACCGGGGACCAACGGCTTTACTTCCCATCCGAAGGAAGGCGTGATCAGAGATGTTATGCCTCAGAACATCCCGGTGGCGCCGACTGGGATTGAACCCAGGCCTGCTGGGGTGAGAGGTAATCACGCTTACCACTACACCACCGGCGCCGTTGTATCCGATGATAGTGACAGAGGTATCTTTGTAAATATCGCGTGAGATCTTTCATTGAAAATGACATTTGCCAACCCTGGTCGCACTTATATTAAATTCTCATTTGGTTTGGAACGGTCGAAGCGCGCTGCAACCCCACCCATAAGGATTATACACAGGTATGTAACTAAAACTCTGTACAGACTGGAGACTTATAACATGTTATAACGGTTGTCAAATAATTGCAACACAGAAACCAACATCAAGATAGCGCTATAACATGTTATAACTCTGTAGTCTGAACGTACTATAAGATAGTATTTTATTGCAGCGGCTTGAGGAGCGAATCCTTGATGAAGAGCCGCCGCGTGTAGGGTTGCTTCCACTCACTTGCTATAAAAAAATGTTTTTCGGAATTATGAAATCATTACAAGAGCAAATTTTCATTACGTCGAATGTAACAAAGATAAACAAAGTCGAGCTATCAGAGTCAATCGATTCTCTTGCTATTACACTATATACTGTCCGAATATAGGATCAAATCCCATTTTTAAATTTATTTACCAGTCAAATTGCTTTTTGACGTAATCACCTTCCGATCATAAGACCGTTGATTGTGACGCTCTGAAAGCAAAATTGACTGGTTTTATGAGTCAAACACATACTTTTCACCCTCTTCTTGTTACTTGCAAGTACAACATATCATTATATCATCTAATGATTTCATTATTCCGAAAAACATTTTTTATAGCAAGTGAGTGGAAGAAACCCTGGCCGCGTGTTAAATCAATCGGCGCTTTCGTACTTCTATCAACAGAAAACAGATGGTATAATCCCATTTTGAGAAATTATCCTGTCACACACAACATAAGGATTATAGATACGACCGTCACCAAATGAGGGTGCTGATCTATTGTTAGGGTTTTGCGATGTGCATTGCTTTTGAGCACGGAGTGACTTGAAAAAGAAAAGCGAAGAAAAGTGATATTTGGTTGTTGTGTGGTTGCGCTGGAGGAGGAATTGTTTGAGATGACTAGAGAAAAATATGCATGGAAGCATCGGGAATGCGCTCCCGGGAGTAGTGATTTGGTGAGTACGTTCCAATTGAAGATTGTTAAAAAAGTGTATTTGTGGTGATGCAAATTATGGTTTAGATGACGCATGGCTTCAAACATTTTGTGTATCCAAATAAAACATATTACCTCGCATATTACATACTAAATACGCACAGGGCATCGTCTGCTGACCATTGTCGCGGGTATATCGTGGGAGTCCCAGGTACCCGGTTCAAGCTTTAGTTGGCGGCGGTGGCTCTTCTTGACCTTCTACCCCCTGAGTAGTTAGTGTGAATAAGGGCGTCTATGTGATGTTTTGCTGTACCTGTTGTGGACATCTAGTGCATCCTGTTCCCTTAACTTGTTGAGGACACCCTGTCTTGCCTCAAAAGTTACCTTTTTGGAGTACTAGTCTTCACAACATAAAGGGCACCATTACGGAGCATGAGATATGATCAAATTATTCGCAGTTCTACTTGTCCAACGCCCCCGGCTGGGTTAGGGATAAAGGATGACACACACACACACACACAGATACGACCGTCACCAAATGAGAATTCAATATAAACGCGACAATATAAATTTTATAGATAAGCAAAGGCAAAATCTAGATAGAGCTGGAATTAGGGCGTAACAGCTTTTGTAAACAATGACTTCTCTCGATGTTTTCTAGAAATTCAAGGCACGCCCACGCTAACCAACATAACCATCGGGTAGAAGAAGTCTTCTTCTATCCGATGAGGATGTTGGTTTGCATGGGCGAGCCTTGAATTTCTAGAAATCATTGATAGAAGTCATTGTTTACAAAAGCTGTTAGGCCCTAATTCCAGCTCTATCTAGAAATAGAATGTAGCCAAATGAACTGTCAGTAAGTTAGCCAAACGAGAATGACGTCAGCATGGTGTTTTTTGAGGAGGCAGTATTGTAATAGTATGAGCACAAAACGCTTTCCATACTCCACTTTCTGATTTATTTCGCGGAAAACGGAAGAAGGAAATATAACACAAACCACTCCTCTATTCATTGTTGCAAAGATTTGCTTTCGCTAATAAAATTTGTATGGTTAATTTTCTTAACGACGTGTTTAGGGTATCATCCAAACCATTTATGGAATAGTTCTATCATTTCGGTTATCGTTCGGGTATGGTATTTTTATTAGGGTTGCACTTCATTTTGAACTTTTGCGCACGAAACAAAATAAAACTGCAAATCGAAGAGCTCCATGATGGCATGAACATTTTTCACGGATGCCAGTAAGATCATTTATTTTTCATGGTTGCCAAAACATCTTTTTGTGCCTCCACTTATCTATATAGAATCTATAGTATCTATAATCAGAACTCGTCACACTGGCGAGAATCAACGTTTTGAATTACACAATGGCACATAGATGTATGACGATCTCACTTCTTGGGTAGTTTCGAAAGAAAACAAACAAATCTGCTCAATTTTTAAACTTGTACTTTACTACCACTTATCAGTCTTCTTCAATATACACATCACCTCAATAGTACCTAAAAGCATCCAAGAATATCTAAATATCTAGCCATCTGGACATGATGGCGTCCATTTCTTCATCATCTCAACGCTAAGCTCAGCATCGATCCTTCCGAGTAGTAATCGTCTTGGCTCTGCATGATGACTATTCGCGTTCGAGTCACTTGCAAGGCCAACCGTATGATCATGGCCACAACTATCACAGTCAAAATGAACCCAAACAGCAGCAGAGGATCCAACGACGAATGCATATCGGTTGCGTGAACAACATGCTTCACTACGACTTCATCATCGTCCCACTGTTGTTGATACATGGTTGCTCGGTGGTTTCGTTTAAAATAGACTGGAAATTCAATTAAAAACTTGATCCACACACAGTTCTCCTTTCACAACGGTTTACTATTGTTTTGACGCTTCCGTAGGCGACCATCGCTTCATTAAATTATGTGATAAGAACAACTCACTATCGTGCGGGACTACTTGGGATCTGAACCGTCTGAAACTTGATGTTGCACTACAGTGAGTAATCCTTACTGGTAGAGCAATCAAGAAACGTAAAAAGTCAATAATGGCCGTCGTTGGCTTACAATATCACCGTTCCAATTATTATTTATAGATTAAATTATCGCCTTTTATCTCGAAGGCGCGTGGTTTAGTACTTTTTCCGTCGTTGCGTCGTCTTCTAACTGATGATGACGTCGAACCTGCTATTTATTAACGACACTTAACAAATGTAGGCACAGATTCGGCTTTTGCAGAAGACTCGGCAAAATATTCACAATTCGCACGGACCGCGTGATTCTAAAGCGAGTAAATCACGCTCGCTTCAAGCTTCCTAATTGGACGCGCGCTCTAAAGCTTAATAACTAACTACACTGGTATATTGAACAAATGATACTAGGTAAGTACCTAGCTAGGTCGGTCGTTTGAACGAGTTGCTCGTCAATATGAAGGTTTTAATGTCCACCAGGTACCTAAATGATAAAGATTATACTTTGATTGATTCCGATCGTGACATTGATTGCTCGTTCGTCACTCAAGTCCATAAAGCGGAAAATACAGATCAAGACACGACCTACTGTATGCGTTGATAAGGCTTTTAAGTTGGTGGTGACAATGAAGTGTAAATATTTTGACTAATATGAATTCTCAAGCAATCAAAGAGATCAGAACGATTCAATCTGCACTGGGGGGTATCATTATTATTATTATTATTATTATTATTACTATTATTATTATTATTATTACTATTATTATTATTATTATTATTATTACTATTATTATTATTATTATTACTATTATTATTATTATTATTATTATTACTATTATTATTATTATTGTTGGAGAATTTAATTTAAATATGCAAAAAAAAATTCCTTGATTTGTTTTCCGTCGATCTTGTTTTCCGTGCTGAGCACCAATGCTATCGATGCCAGGGAGGCAGCTCCCACACCTGGACCCTACCTATCAACCCATCATCAACTCATGAACCGGGGACCAACGGCTTTACTTTCCTCAGAACATCCCGGCGGCGCCGACTGGGATTGAACCCAGGCCTGCGCTGGGGTGAGAGGTAATCACGCTTACCACTACACCACCGGCGCTGCTATGTATATGTAAATATCAGCTACCAGAAAACATACAATACTAAAACTGCTTCCCCATGTTGGCTGCGACGAAGCAAATAATATGGAGAAGCAAATTTTATGCTTGAAATTACAATAGTGTCCGAGATTTACTCCCTAGAAAGTTTGAAGTGGCGGTTCAAGTAAGTCATCCTGCCGCTATATCGATTGCAGTTTTGTTATTGTATAACATAGCGAACCAAATGTGGGGGAGAGGTAGCTCATCGATTCTTCCGGTTCGCCTCCTAGCATCGTGCTATAAGGTACCAGGCGATAACCAGGGTAGTTGATCGATAGCTCGATGACGTCATTTCGTTGGCGTCTGCAATGGGAAATTCTCATAGCATGCGTTGACGATGGGACGTTGTCGAGTTGTTGAATAGCAACTATCGTGGTAACTCACCGATTACCTGTCGATCTGCCAAATTTGAAAAGACGTCTGCATTGAATTGTCTCATATAATAATATTCCGCCCACTATATCACAAGAAATTGCGAGTAGCTGAGTGGAATGGAGATAAGTTAAGCATTGGGTACAGGACCAAGTCTCCCCTGGGTGGTGCCCAAAGATGAGCGCAATAGAATCATCAAGTTGCCATAAGGCACGGAATGAGACTATTGCATGGCTGGGTAGTCAAAGTCTTCCATTCGTTAGTCATTTCAGGTGGATTAGAACAGGTTTAGGTTTAGGGTGGGCGTTGGCTAGATTTGGATTTTTCAGATGTAATCCTGGATAGGACCCTGTCATTGAACGTCGCGTGAAAGTGGCTTATGAAGGCCTAAGTACTTTTTCATAGTTTTTAGTTTTCGGATTTGAAAGATCGTCGGTTACAGTGGCCTGCTTACTGAGCAGAAAAACGCGGTCCCAGGTCCTTACATATCAAAAAGATTTATGGTAAAATCGCTTGTGTATCGTGTATTTTGCGAAACTCGTTGTTGTCGTTGGTTCCGGGTTTGAATGGATACACAAATTTGAGCAACGGTATTATGTGATATGAGGGGTTCGGTGGCCTTAGAGCAACCGTTTTTGCTTACTGAGCAGAACATCATGAGTCTAATCTCAGGCCCATCCACATTCAAGATTCGTCAATCCTTTTATTTGTTAATATGACTACATGGTAATAACAGCAACTCGGTGATTAAAAAGGTGCTCGTCTGCCAAGTGGCAAACGTTTTTGCTTACTGAGCAGAAGACCGTGGGTTTAGTCCCAAGCTCCTTCGCGTTATATGATCGTTAGGACATCAATTCAGCTTATCGTTTACCAAAACGAACCCTACTGCAAACCCAACCCTCTTATCCAACATCCCAGTGATTCCTCGTGGAAGTGCAGAGGTGCTTCCATCAAAGCGAGTGTCATGTCAACACAATTCTTCCCATTCCTTTCTTGACCTGTGTTCGGGCGCGGCCGGCGCTGGTATTGCCTAATTTAAGATCACTAGTTTTTACACATTGAGGATGATTGCTAGTCCCAAGCATCGTCTATTGGTTCTCTGTGTAATTACAGCTGATCTGGCAGTAACAGAGTAGCAACCGTGGGCGGTCAATCAAGCTCAAGCTCAAGTTCAAGCTGCATAACATAGCGAACCAAACATAAAACCAGAAACAAAGAGACATTCATTCGGGACACCCAAAACAAGTAAACGAACAAATTAAAGTGTTTCCTTGTAGAGTTCATTTTTCCATCACACCTCGCAATTTTAAGAGCACATATCTCAAGATCTACGACGTTTAGGTAGGGTGGGTGAGCTAGTAGTGGAGGTACTAAGCCATTTTATTAATTAAACAATAAATATACGATGTACACACATTTGTTATACGTCAATCTATAGCTTTTAACCTCTATTTTGATAGACAAGTATTACACTGTAATAAAATTGCATACAATTTTAGAAAACTCATCCTTCATTAACAGGAACACTGTTCCAGTAGTTGTGGTAGTTTCTAACTTTGGTTCCTATAATAGTGGAATGCGTTGGTTTCTTATGGGTTCCATTATTATAGGAACACTACCGCAACTATAGGTGCAAAGAAGTGAAAATCTTAAGGAAAATGAATGATTTTCCGTAATTTTTGGGCTAATTTTAAGTTTGAAATATGCAAATATGTTTTATTTTAGGACAGCCTAAAGATAAAAAAATAATCTTATTCGGGGCCTCCTCGCTATTCCGGCACAACCTCCATACCGCAACTATAGGTACACCACTATTACTGGAACACCTACCCTATACATTTGCAAATTTCAGACATTGCTTGCTTCTCCGCAGCAAGCAACAAGTAGTACTTTTAGCTGCGTGCATTCACAGAAACCTTATTATTTTTGCATGTGAAACTGAAAAGTGTAACACGAAAAAGGACGCTACAGGGAATCCTAAACCTAAATCTTAAATGGTTAAGGGGGTAGTACACTTTGAACGTCCAAAAAGTAAGGCATTTTCGTCATTTTTTTTTTTTTCAGCAATAAAACACTCAGGGAGGGCAAATATGTTATAACCCATTTATTAGTCATCCTTCGAACTACAATTTGTATTTTTTTTGAACTCGATTGGCGTCTCCCCGTGGCCGGTGCACCAGGTCGCGCGGAAGTCGGAAAACGGCGTGGGAAAATACTCCTTTCCATGTGATCCTGGAACATGAATCGAACAAAAATCCTGATTATTAATGTTTTTTTTTTTTTTTTTTTGTCTTTATTTTAGAGATTTTTAGCCTGAGGCTAGTTCATCTCTTCTGATTATTAATGAAATTTGGGTTAGAAATACGTATTCCGATTTTTTTTAAATTAATTTTTTCAAAAGTTGTGGCCTTAGGAAAAAAAAGTCCATTTTTTCACCCTAATGCTTACAAAATTGTGGATTAAAAATCCATTTTTGACCAAAATCGAAAATGTGGATACGTATTTCTAAGCAGAATTTAATTCTGAACAAGAAAACCTAGGCGATATCCAAATTTGATGATAACTGGTTAGAGTTATTTCCCACGCCAGTTTGAAAAACCCCGTTTCGAGATAAACGCGTTTAAAGATAAAATCTCTCTCCCTCAGCGCGCCGGTACATGTTTTAGGAAATCGCTTCGTAAAGCGGGAAGGAATATTCTGGCGGACTTGGAGTCTTTTCTAAATTAAAGTATACATCCAAAGGACATTTTAAGCCAAAAAAAAGAAGCATTTTTTTGAAAAAATCAAAGTGTACTCCCCCTTAAAACTTTAAGCGTGGTGCACCAGAGCCGTTATGGACAAAAAAAAAACTGAGAAGGTTATTAAAATTGAAAAGTAAAACGTTGTATCTCTGGTTCAATATGTTTATTGCTATTGCTATATATTTACTTTGGCAAACAAGCGTTCAGTAACGGTATTATCTTGTAACATTTCTGCAGCACAAAACCCTAAGACTACATTAATACAGTTTGAAGTTATGTAAAACAATTTCTTCGCTAAGATTCGATGTCCACCATCCTCCAAACTCTTGCACCACTCCTTTTATCAGTCCTTGTTCCACCGTGAATCTCCACTCGGCCGTTGGTGGTGAATCATATGACACAAATTGTTCCTTCCTAATACTAGCTTCCGTTAGCTACGGAAAATGAAACACGCTTATTCCGTTCCGACGCAATCCTCAACGTGATTCTGCAGGGTGCTGAGATCTTTATATGACCCATTGCACAGCGGGCAACGCAAAACCATTCGGTCATAAATTTGCTCCTCACGAGCAGTAGCTCCGGTTTCGGCACTGGTGCTCGCTTCCGGTGACTCACGTTTATTCAGCGACTCGTTAGCCGCACGTGTTGCCTTCTCTTCGGCGGCACGTCTGAAAATATTATTAAGTTTCGTTAGCATTACTTTTTTTTTTTTGAATTTCGGATCCCGGAACAGTTACCCATTTTGAACCTCCTCGATCAGTTGCTGGTTTCGCTTTTGGAGCAGCTTCAGATCACTCATAATGCGATCCTTGTCGCTAGCCAACTCTGCCCGAGCCGATCGCTCAGCTTCGAAATCGATCTTGTAGATGTCCAACTGGGCCGTCAGAACATCGACTTGTTCCGCGAGAGTCTTCAGCTCGCGAATGTTCTCCGCTAGCGAGACGTCTTTTGTTTCAATATCCTTAGCCTGGCGTTCCAACTGAATGCGCTGCTTAGTGTGCACTTCTTCAGCTGCGGTTAGATTCACCTTCAAGCAATTCAGCTCGTCGATGTAAATCTTTTGCTGCGTCGTAGCAAAAACAATGGATTATATTCTTCATATTGCATTACCGTTATCTACTATATACTTACCATATCTTCAAATTCCAAATTCTTCGCCACATGTACGGACATTTCTCGCTGCAGCACCTTGATCTGTCTATTGTGTTCTTCCGTGGTGATGAACTGAACGCCACCGTCGCTGGTTTCCGGTTTGTTTGATTTGACCACCACAAACTCCTGTTTCTCCAGTTCCAGACGTTCGATCTCCTTAGCCATATTCTGCAGAATTGATTGCTTTTCAGATGTAACCTTCTTCAGCTCTTCAAGTTCGGCTACAGCAGATGCCCTTTCGGCCTGAATCTGCGTCTGGACATCCTGCAGTGCCTTCTCGAGTGCAAGCTTGTGCTCATTGGTTCGCTTTTCCTGCTCTCTGGAGCGAGTCTCAGCTAAGGCAAGGGCCTGCTTGAGCTTTCCGTTTTCCACTTCCAATGTCTCAATCGCAGCACATTGTTCGTCGATCTTTCGCACCTGATCGGCATATTTTACCTTGACTTCATCTTGCCACTTTTGAATGTTGGTGAAATTCTTTCTCATAGCCACATTAGCCTTCTGGAGACTATCCTTCATCTGACCGTGCTCGTTCATCAGGTGCTGAAGCACTTGAACTTCATCGATCGGCATAGATGATTGCATCAAACTAGGGAAGGTTTGAAACAGGCTGGACTTGGTCTCGCCCATAATGACGCTCGCTGCCAGGGCATTTTTGCTTCCGTTTATACTCACCGGTGCCGATTTACCTTGCTCTGATTGCAACGATTTTGCACCTGTCGACTTTGTCGATTTCAGTGACTCATCCGCCTGAATCAAGCTGAAGTTGTTCGAAATGGTCTGGGTGGTAGAAGTGGTCATAATTTTGTCTTTTAGCGATTCAGGGCCACCGTCGGAAAGGTACTGTTCCATGGACGGGGTCGGTGTCGATCCCAGGACAATGAATGATTCCTCGTCGGACATTATTTTTCACTTCCGAAACAATTGCGCTGCAAAATAACAATGGTATGAGCTCATCACACCCGGACCGTCTTTTCTTGGACCATAATTAGCAGTAAAGTTACGCGTTCATAAATATGCTAAATTTAGACACTTTCGATTAGCTCTGCGCTTACCTTGGTAAAATATGTGAATGTGGCAATTTCTGATGATCTATAAAAAGCTCTGTGATGTTCTAATGTTGCCTAAAAGAAGATAAACTGCACGTATGTTTATGTACTTCGGTAGCGATCTTGAAATAAAATGGTGCTGGTGCATAACAATTTCTGTTGACTTTTGAAAGTGCACTGGGTAAAATTTGTCTTTTCAAACTGAGAGTTTTATTAAAAATAATGGATTACAGTACACAGAAAAAAAGTTGTTGAATATTACCTAAGAGGAAGAGGTGACAATTGGCTTCTTCCTCTTTTATTTCTATCTCTATCTCTATCTTTATCTATCTCTATCTCTATCTTACGCACATGAAATCAGCCAATCAGGAGCTGGTTCACGTTTGACAGAAAAGTGGTTCATTTTCGCCCCCGTATTGTCACCTCTTCTCTTAGAATATTACATCCAAACCTCGATCCAAACTGCTGCAACCAGGTCAATTCATCAGTCGTGTTAAATAACGTTGTACCATAGAGGTAACTCTAAAGGCCGGCGCACAATAGATACGTTTTCGGGTTTTTTTGACAGATAATGTATGGGCTAACTGTCAAAAAACCCGAAAACGTATCTATTGTGCGCCGGCCTTAAGACCAGAAGGTCCCGAAGAAACGAGCTCAACTAGCAAAAAAAGTTGTTGAATATTACGTCGAAACTGCTGCAACCAGGTCAATCCATCGGTTATGTAATATCACATTGTACGATGTACATCGATTTTGCGAACAAAATTACATCCATTGATGTAATAATGTATCTGCATCATTATTTCATACATCTGCTTGAATTACGTTGATCGATATTACATTTTTTTTGCTGTGTACTCTCTTTGGTCCCAAGCAAATTGATGCACTTCTCGAAACATAGGAAAAATCCACGAACCCCTCATTTTATCTGTCAAACTTTCATAGCGAATCAAAACAAACATAGTGTAGTACTGGAATTTATCCTAGAATGGGGTACGTTAATCGGTTTGCTTGGGACCAATAGGCTACCCTAATAAAAATGTTATGGTTAATTTGCTTAACGACGTGTTCGGGGTATCATCCAAACCATTTGTGGAATAGTTCAATCATTTGGGTTATCGTTCGCTTATGGTATTTTTTTTATTAGGGTAGTCAAGTAGTGAGCCAATTGGGTTGTTTAGGGGTATTGAGGTTAATACATATTCGGTATCTGCATTAAAAATGGAACCGAAATCCAAAATTTCATCAATTTTTGTACACTGGAACTATTTTAAACAAGTACAATAACGTTAGCAAAAATCACCATCTTAGCGCCCCCCTTGGTAGGATTTAGAATGGGAGTGAGCTGTCAACGAATAGATTTAGCACAGACAAACAGACATAACTCATTGAATATTTCTCACTGTAAAACATCATCGCTAAAACATTACCGCCATCTGTTGAATACACTGTGGTGGGCACTACGCTGAACAGATGGCGATAGTGTGTAAACGTCAAACGCAAGACTATGTGCGCCTCAGGTGGCGGTACTACCAACTACGATATTTTTAAATTGACCGTTAAATGTTTGTTCGATTAACAACTAGCGAGTGTTATGTCTGTTTGTCTGTGGATTTAGTGTCAACGGTCAAAAATTTAAATCTTGTTTTAAAAATCGAAATGACCCAAGTAACAATTTCCAGTTGAAGAAACGCTTTCGTTTTGATTTTGTTCAGCTGCATGTTGAATAATAATTGCACAATGTGTTCACCACAACTTTTATAAAACCCTTGTTTACACTGATTTGGAGAACCTATACAACTGCAACACAAAGGTGTTGTCTAACGTATTCAGTAAAACGTTTACCCAAAATCAATTTCTTGTTGAAGAAACGCTTCCATTGTGATTTTATTCAACTGCATGCTGAATAATAACTGTACAATTTGTTTATTACAACTTCTGTAAAACTCTTGTTTACACTGGTTTGGAGAACCTGTTCAACTACAGCATTATATGTATACGCGGTATAGGAGTAGAAGCAACTTTTATACAACGTTTATAGATACATATTTAAAGTCAAGCTTTATTGTTTTGGTTAAAGCTCTTATACAACGTTTGTAGACACTTCCTGACAGCTGCTTTGAAATTTAGTAGAGAGGAAACCTGAGAGGCGTTTGTTACACTCTTTTATGACTCCTAAATATTAATTGAACAGCAAGCGGTGAAAAGCGTTTATAGCACTTTTCAATGACTCCTTAACAACCGGATAGAAGCAACTTTTATACAACGTTTATAGATACATATTTAAACTCAAGCTTTATTATTTTTGTGAAATCTCGTATACAACGTTTGTAGACACTTCTTGACAGCTGCTTTGAAATTTAGTAGAGAGTAAACCTGAGAGGTGTTTGTTGCACTCTTTTATGACTCCTAAATAATCATTGTACAGCAAGCGGTGAAAAGCGTTTATAGCACTCTTCAATGACTCCTTAACAACCGGATAGAAGCAACTTTTATACAACGTTTATAGATACATATTTAAAGTCAAGCTTTATTGTTTTGGTTAAAGCTCTTATACAACGTTTGTAGACACTTCCTGACAGCTGCTTTGAAATTTAGTAGAGAGGAAACCTGAGAGGCGTTTGTTACACTCTTTTATGACTCCTAAATATTAATTGAACAGCAAGCGGTGAAAAGCGTTTATAGCACTTTTCAATGACTCCTTAACAACCGGATAGAAGCAACTTTTATACAACGTTTATAGATACATATTTAAAGTCAAGCTTTATTGTTTTGGTGAAAGCTCTTATACAACGTTTGTAGACACTTCCTGACAGCTGCTTTGAAATTTAGTAGAGAGTAAACCTGAGAGGCGTTTGTTGCACTCTTTTATGACTCCTAAATAATCATTGTACAGCAAGCGGTGAAAAGCGTTTATAGCACTTTTTAATGACTCCTTAATAACCGTTGTGTAAGTACTCACAATATTCACATATTAAAATTAGTTTAACAATTGTAGTGGTACGCCAAAATAATTACTTGTACAGTTTTTATTAATTTAATTTATTTGTGCACATTGAAAAAATATGTAATTATGCCATAATTCACATTCTGTGATCATGGAGGAAGTAGTAACAAGCATCTGTTTAATCTTTGATTGATATTCTTTCAATTAATCTCTCTAATCATTAATTGAGAGAATTTATCTAGAAATGTTATCGTTGATTATATGATATATGTCTTAAATTAATGATTGCATTTATTAATAACACCTATATATAATTTACCTCTACTCCACCGAGGGTCTCTCGAAGCAAGATTCGAACTCATGATCCCGGATTGCCAGCCGCTTCTGTTTCCATCTGCTCTATTCTTGAATACATATTTTGATCATATGAGAGAAGTATATTAAGCTCATCTGGAGTGACTACTCTTGCAGTCGAATAATCATTGCCTTATGGTCATATAAACGTGCCTATCACTTGTGCTATTTTTAGCAACAAAATTGTGGTTGGTGGTTGGTCGAACGTAAACAATCATTTAAGAGTGCTCCAACAGCTTTTAAAACTTTTAATCAAATGGCAATACAACTACATTCTTGTTCAACTCTGGAAGCTATTATTCAACGTTTGATCAACTCAGGTGTTTTATAAGATCTTCCAATGGTTTGTTTTGATGCGTTTATTCCACGTTCTATATAGCTCTTGTCAATCGGTTTAACAAAGGTGCTATAAAAGTTATCGTAGGTCTTATAAAGCATATAGTTAAACCGAACGTAAACAATCATTTAAGAGTGCTCCAAGCAGCTTTTGAAGCTTCTAACCAAAAAGGCAATACAACTACATTCTTGTTCAACTCTGGAAGCTATTATTCAACGTTTGATCAACTCAGGTGTTGTATAAGAGCTCCCAATGGTTTGTTTTGATGCGTTTATTCCACGTTCTACATAGCTCTTGTCAATCGGTTTAACAAAGGTGCTATAAAAGTTATCGTAGGTCTTATAAAGCATATAGTTAAACCGAACGTAAACAATCATTTAAGAGTGCTCCAAGCAGCTTTTGAAGCTTCTAACCAAAAAGGCAATACAACTACATTCTTGTTCAACTCTGGAAGCTATTATTCAACGTTTGATCAACTCAGGTGTTGTATAAGAGCTCCCAATGGTTTGTTTTGATGCGTTTATTCCACATCCTATATGGCTCCTGTCAAACAGTTTAACCGAACGTAAACAATCATTTAAAAGTGCTCCAAGCAGTTTTTGAAGCTTCTAACCAAAAAGGCAATACAACTACATTCTTGTTCAACTCTGGAAGCTATTATTCAACGTTTGATCAACTCAGGTGTTGTATAAGAGCTCCCAATGGTTTGTTTTGATGCGTTTATTCCACATCCTATATGGCTCCTGTCAAACAGTTTAAACGAACGTAAACAATCATTTAAAAGTGCTCCAAGCAGTTTTTGAAGCTTCTAACCAAAAAGGCAATACAACTACATTCTTGTTCAACTCTGGAAGCTATTATTCAACGTTTGATCAACTCAGGTGTTGTATAAGAGCTCCCAATGGTTTGTTTTGATGCGTTTATTCCACATCCTATATGGCTCCTGTCAAACAGTTTAACCGAACGTAAACAATCATTTAAGAGTGCTCCAAGCAGCTTTTGAAGCTTCTAACCAAAAAGGCAATACGACTACATTCTTGTTCAACTCTGGAAGCTATTATTCAACGTTTGATCAACTCAGGTGTTGTATAAGAGCTCCCAATGGTTTGTTTTGATGCGTTTATTCCACATCCTATATGGCTCCTGTCAAACAGTTTAACCGAACGTAAACAATCATTTAAGAGTGCTCCAAGCAGTTTTTGAAGCTTCTAACCAAAAAGGCAATACAACTACATTCTTGTTCAACTCTGGAAGCTATTATTCAACGTTTGATCAACTCAGGTGTTGTATAAGAGCTCCCAATGGTTTGTTTTGATGCGTTTATTCCACATCCTATATGGCTCCTGTCAAACAGTTTAACCGAACGTAAACAATCATTTAAGAGTGCTCCAAGCAGCTTTTGAAGCTTCTAACCAAAAAGGCAATACGACTACATTCTTGTTCAACTCTGGAAGCTATTATTCAACGTTTGATCAACTCAGGTGTTGTATAAGAGCTCCCAATGGTTTGTTTTGATGCGTTTATTCCACATCCTATATGGCTCTTGTCAATCGGTTTAACTAAGGTGCTATAAAAGTTATCGTAGGTCTTATAAAGCATATAGTTAAACCGAACGTAAACAATTATTTAAGAGTGCTCCAACAGCTTTTATAACTTTTAATCAAATGGCAATACAACTACATTCTTGTTCAACTCTGGAAGCTATTATTCAACGTTTGATCAACTCAGGTGTTTTATAAGAGCTCTCAATTGTTTGTTGGGGAATGTCTACGGGATCGATAAAAAATATCGTTGTGCTCAGAAAACGAAGCTTTCCCGAAAAAAAAATACAGTGAAATTTTCAGTTGAAACAATGCTCTAACCGGGGGGCGACACATGCTAAATCTCAATTCTAGATGCTCAAAAAATCTCACACTAGCAAATCAATCTTTGAAAAATCATCTTTCATTTCTCGCTGCTACTTGCATCGTGCTTCATCTTTTTGCAGGAAATCTTCAAAATCGACATAAATCTTCCTTTTATCTACTCAGCGTGCGTGCAGCTAACCACAGCAACACACAATCTTTTCTGCATCGTAGATAGAGTCGTCCCCCTCGGCTCTAACATTAATATTTATTGTAGACAATAAAAATGATTGTTATAATCAGGGTTGCTTCCACTCACTTGCTATAAAAACATATTTTTCGGAATTATGCAATCATTAGATGATATAATGATATGCTGCACTTGTAAGTAACGAGAAGAGAGTCTAAATTATGTGTTTGACTCATAAAACCTGTCAAATTTGCTATAAGAGCGTCACAATAAGCGATCTTATGATTCGTGAGCGTTCACTCAGAGTGAGCACTCACGAGTCGTAAAATTGCTGATTGTGACGCACTGAAAGCAATATTGACAGATTTTATGTGTCAAACACATACTTCACGTCCTCTTCTTGTAACTTACAAGTACTAATTATCAGTATACCATCTCACGATTTCATAATTCTAAAAAACATTTTTTTATAGCAAGTGAGTGGAAGTAACCCTGGTTATAATGTTGTACCCTTCCGAAAACGGCAAAAGTGCTACCTATAGATGTACAATAAAGGTACATAATAAAATGTCGTTACAATGATTTTTATCGTATTTTTCATTTATTTAATTGTAAACATGATTCGATCATGAACAATAATGAACAACTCTATTCGTCACGAACAATAAAAATAAATCTAATTGATGCATGCAGACTATGAGAGGATCAGCAACACTGCCAATGTAATCAAGATAGGTGCTGCCCGTATGGCTCTGGCTTCGACAGTTCGTTTGGCTGACCGATATCGGACTTGCTCTATTCGTTGCCAAGTTAATTGAACGCCTACGACCAGATCGGTTTGAGTTGAATTCAACTCACCTGCCTCATAATCAGTCAATAATCATACAATAATAATAAAAAAATCCACCACTTGAAGATACCAGGAAGGAATTCTCAGGTGTAACCATATTTTACGATCTGCTTCACCTATCTCTGTACCTCATTGCCTCTATATATGCATTTCGGTTTATTTGAAAAATTTCCATCTGTAAAATTTAAGTGAAAATTTACCAAATGGAGCACAGCCTTAGTACACCAAAAGTGTAAGCGCCAACAAGTGCGAGTTTCACCAACCAAAGGTGCAACTGATATCTACACCCTGAATTATGTCGGTGTACGACGGTGTAACTCTGCGGTGTATATACCAACACCGCAAAAACGAAAACGACAAGTACAATTTGTTGCAGTGTAGCAATAATGCTTCTTTATTTATCAAGGCCTTTTGTTTTGCTCCCAAATTTCGCATTATGCTGTGACGGACAACGTATAAAAGGTGGCGTCGTGTTGACATAAGCACACTTGACTTCCTTTCATAGTTGGTAGAACGATCCAGTTTTAACTGGAAATTATTCCGCAAATTAGAGTTTATTTGGTATAAAGTTCCAACAGTGTTGGCTGGCTAGTGCAATAATAATAATGTCCATGCAAATCGAACAACAACACGTTTGTCGAATCTGTCTTCAGGACGCCAGAGTTGACTATTACGAACCAATCAATATGTTCGAGCCGAAACTAGAGGTATGGATGTTTTAAACTGCAGTTTGTGTTGAGGTTTAATCACTTTGTTTTTTTTTAAAGCAATCAGAATTCCCTCTAGTGGAAGCGCTTACGGTAATCTGTGGTCTGAACGTGAGTTCCATTTTTTTTATAGTGGATATCGTTAATCTTCTACACTTCCGGTTTTAGGTAACTAAAGAAGACGACTATCCCAAACTGATTTGTTTGAACTGCCTTTCTCAGCTAAGAGATGCGTTCAAACTACGACTGCTTGCCCAACGTTCCCAGGAACTTTTCAGTTCCATACTGTGCAATACTATTACCAAATCCAAACCGGAGTACAAAAGCGTGGATGTACTATCTGATGATGTTTTGAAGTCAAAATTTTTCGACGAAAGTGTGACTGTAAAAAGCGATGCTGAAGATCACTCTAATTTGCAACGGATTTACTGCTGTGGTTGTGATGAGTCATTCGATAGCGAACAACAGTTGCGGAGGCACTCCAATCACGAGCATCGTCCCAAGAAACTCATGGCGCCCACAAAGAGACGAATGATTAGTTGCCACGTTTGTTATGTGCAGATGAAAGAAGACGATTGGGAGGCTCACAGAGCCGGTAAAAACGCTCTTAAATCGTTGATGGTATGTGATTTTTGCAAATGTAATTTTACTACCACAGTAGGAATGAACAAGCATCATAAAATGTATCACGCCAATGGCCTGTACAAATGCTGTGGTTGCAGTTTTAAAAGCAAAATAAAATCGGAACTTGAAGAGCATTCTTTACTTCATGAAAAGGGGGATCCAAAGGGAACGACTCGAACCAAGAAGTATAAGTGCTCGATATGTTATGTTGAGTTCAAAAGCTTCGAAGAGATAAGAATGCACGATCGACTTCCATATCGTAGGGCAAAGCAAAGCGAGAACGATGCCAACAAGCTAACCGAATCATCATCAGTGACAGTCTGTTGCGGATGTGTGAAAGTTTTTAAATCGATTTCACAATTGAAGGAACACCAGCAGAACGAACACAAACAGGAAAGCGTTCCGAATGCGACTGATCCTTTGTCAGTTCAGTGCAATGCATGCCATAAGCGGTTTTCGCATAAACGTTTGCTCAAGCAGCACATGCATTCGACCTCGAAGAAAAAGTTTTTCGGCTGCTCTGAATGTCCCGTGACTCGCCGTAGCATTGACGAAGTATTGGACCATGCAACAACCCATACCGGAGCGAAAGCTTTCCTGTGTTGCGGCTGTCAGAGGGGATTCTGCTCGAAGGAGGAACTCAAACAGCATTCTCTCGAAGAGCACGCCATTCGACCAAAGTTTTACCACGACGACGACTACGAACAGAAGCGTCCCTTTCTGTGCGATATATGCTATCGACGGTACAAAAGCAAACTGGATCTCGTCCATCACCAGCAGCTCGTTTACGACGCAAAAGTCCACATGTGTGAAGTTTGTGGGAAGGGTAAGCTAAGGAAGGAAATGTTATCCGATGATTATTACATCGGCAAATGATCATCTCATTGTAGGTTTCCACCAAGCAAGAACTCTCGATCTGCACATGGCCACGCACGTGGAACAAGCCGACCATCCCTGTTTCACATGCGGTAAAAAGTATCGACATGAAACACTGGCGCGCCACTGCATGCTAAGGCACAAGCGTCCAACAGAGCATCGATGTCGGATTTGCCAGGCCGTCTTCTCCGACAGTAGCAATCTAAATTCGCATTTGATTTCTCACTCGGACGTCCGCAAGCACAAGTGCCAGTTATGCGAGGAAACCTTCAAACGGCCGGGCCACCTCAGGATGCACATGGAAACGGCTCACACGCAGGAAAGCAACTTTCGCTGTCGGCACTGCTCGAAACAGTTCAGTACACCGTCGACGTTGAAAAGACACGAAATCGATCACACCGGGAAGTATCCGTATCGGTGCGAAGTTTGCGGCAAACCGTTCAAGACTCGTAAATATTACGTTGAACACTACGAGAAGCACATCGGGGAATCGGCAAAGGTGTATCGGTGCCATCTGTGCGAGGAGCGCTACAGTAGGCAGTACTTCTTGTCCAACCACTTGAAGTTCTCCCATCGCATCGAACCGACGGAGGTTGGATGGAATGCAAAGTTCAAGCAGACTGTCGTGAGTGACGGAGATAAACCGGATGACGCAATGGAAGATGGTGGGGAACAAGGTACCCGTGACAAAGTATGAACATTTTTGCCGTCCGCTCCAAGTGGGAATATGGGATTCCCAAATTACGTTTTATAATTTGTTAATTTGGTAAGGTTCAATGTTTAAAACAAACATTGTGGAGCCGAACGTCTCTACAACAATTGTGCAATATATTGAAACGCTATTCCCGAGACAATGTCCCAGGTATACGGGCAATTTTATTATACATACAGTGTTTTTTCTTTTGCATGTCTGACGTCCCAGACGGGTTCGACCTGCTGTACAAAGTTGCGCCAACTCGGTTCGTGGCCTCATTCGTTCACACTTCCTAGATCTTGCTCCATTTGGTCAAACCAACCAGAACTACCAGTGTTATCAGTGTCTTTTTTTTTTTTACTAGTTCGTTTATTTACTAGGCTCAGTCGTGTGTGACACTTTGCGGAGCCAAAATCAGTAATGTTTGATTTTACATTTTAAATAGCAGTAGTTCTAGGTTAGTATTGGGTACCAATTACTCGTGGCGGGCTCGAGGTTAATGGGTAACAATTTCGATGGGAAGGAGCTAGGTAGGAAACTGGTTTCTGAAGCCTCCTTCAGATACTACTCTCGGACGGTTGACCAAATCCTGGCTGGGCAGGGGCAAGTAGCACAGGAACAGGAGGATAATAAGACTGGGACACAATGGCGGGAAATTGTTTGGAAAGGATGGGATGGTCACATCAAACTCTAACATCAGACAAACAAAGGAATTCGTAGATCGCTTGCATGTAGGGAAGATCACGTGTTCCCAATACATCTCTTACTTCACGGAAGGGTTGTCTACCTCGGGCCACTAGGGTATCCAATAGTCGTGCTCTGGAGGCGTCATTACCCGGGCAATACCAAACTGCGTGATCGATGTCATCATAACCGGTTCTGCACCTACATATATTGCTGTCAACGAGGTTTATTCTATAGAGATGTGCGTCTAGCGAGTAGTGGTTGGACATAAGTCTTGACATCACTCGAATGAATCCCCGACTTACATCCAGACCTTTGAACCACGCTCTCGAAGAAACATTTGGAATAATGGAATGTAACCACCGCCCAAGAGAATTACTTGTCCAATCGTTTTGCCAACTTAAAAGAGAACTCTGACGTACTAATGGGAAAAATTCATCATGTGAAATTCTTCTATCATAAATCTCGCCTTGTTGTGCGCCCACCTTTGCGAGAGAGTCTGCCTTCTCATTGCCTGGGATTGAGCAATGTGAGGGGACCCATACAAAGGTAATCATATATGATCTTTCGACCAGCAAACTCATCTGCTCCCTTACCTTTGAAAGGAAATAAGATGAGTGCCTACCTTGTTTCATCGACCGAATAGCCTCAATCGAACTGAGACTATCCGAGAAGATGAAGTAATGGTCTATGGGCATATCGGAAATCATCCCCAATGCGAAGTTGATTGCTGCTAGCTCAGCAACATAAACGGAACAAGGTTCCTGAAGTTTCCGAAAGGCGGTTGAGTATTCATTGAAGACGCCGAAGCCAGTGGATCCATCAATGCGTGATCCATCAGTGAAAAATCTTCTATTGCAATTGACTTGTTGGTACTTTTCAGCGAAAATGCGGGGAATTAAGATAGGTCGAAGTTGATCTGGAACTCCTTGAATAGCCTGTTTCATGGAGAGATCATAGTCAATGGGGGAACTGTAGTTAGTAAAGCATACACGAGAGGGGTTATAGCAAGGAAGGCTAATATCCGATGACATATAATTAAGATAGATTCGCACGAATCTAGACTGGATGCTCAATTCGAGCATTTCTTCGAAGTTTTCAATCACAAGGTTGTTACTGACACTACATTTAATCAATATTCTTAATGAGAGTTCCCAGAAACGGTTCTGCAGGGGTTTTACGCCCGCTAGGACCTCTAGGCTCATATTGTGTGTTGAATGCATACAGCCAAGGGCAATACGTAAACAACGATATTGAATGCGTTCCAATTTAATTAGGTGGGTTTTTCTTGCCGAGAGGAAGCAAAAAGAGCCATACTCAAGAACTGAAAGAATAGTCGTTTTATATAGTTTAATGAGGTCTTCCGGGTGAGCACCCCACCATGTCCCGGAAATTGATCGTAGAAAGTTGATCCTTTGTTGACACTTTTGTTTCAAATACGTAATGTGGGTACCCCAAGTGCATTTTGAATCAAACCAGACTCCAAGGTATTTGAAGGTTAAAGATTGGGTAATGTCTCTGCCCAAAAGATTTAGACGCAGTTGGGCTGGAAACCGCTTCCTTGTAAACACTACCAATTCAGTTTTTTGCGGTGAAAACTCGATCCCTAAATTTCTTGCCCAGAAAGACAGATTATTTAGGGAATTTTGCAATGGTCTTTGCAAGATTTCCGCACGTGGACCTCTCATGGAAACCACGGCATCGTCTGCAAGCTGTCTAAGCGTGCATAGATTATCTAAGCAGTTATCAATATCTTTGACATAGAAATTATAAAGTAAGGGACTTAAACATGAACCTTGGGGTAAGCCCATGTAGCTAATTCTAGAAGTTGTCAGTTGACCTAGTTTGAAGGTCATTTGTTTTTCTGACAGCAAATTATACAAGAAATTATTCAAAATACCGGGTAATCCATTACTGTGCAAATTGTCTGACAGTATGTCTATGGAAACCGAATCAAATGCGCCCTTAATATCCAAAAAGACTGAAGCCAATTGCTCCTTGTGCGCAAAGGCCAGTTGAATATCAGATGAAAGCATCGCTAGACAATCGTTTGTTCCTTTACTCTTCCGGAAACCAAATTGCGTATTTGAAAGTAGATTGTTTGATTCAACCCAATGGTCAAGTCTTAATAGGATCATTTTTTCTAATAATTTCCTCAGGCATGATAACATAGAGATCGGACGGTAAGAATTGTGATCAGACGCTGGTTTCCCAGGCTTTTGAATAGCTATTACTTTAACCTGTCTCCATGCTGGTGGAACTATATTGAATTCCATAAATGAATTATACAGGTTAAGTAATCGTCTTTTAGCAATATCAGGGAGGTTTTTTAGAAGGTCGAATTTGATCATATCGCTACCCGGAGCAGAGTTATTCGATGAAAGAAGTGCCATTGAAAATTCCAGCATTGTGAATGGTTCATCCAGAGAACCGTTACTTCGGGCTGTATCCCGTAAAGTTGGTTGTGCTGGAACAGAATCTGGACAAACCTTTTTAGCGAAGTCGAATATCCATTGTGAGGAGTATTCTTCACTCTCATTGGAAAATGAGCGGTTTCGCATATAGCGAGCCTTTTTCCAAAGCGTTGTCATCGAGGTTTCTCTAGAAAGTCCCTCGATAAAAGTACGCCAGTAATTTCGTTTCTTTGCTTTTAGTAAGTTTTTAAGCTTTTTTTCAAGCTTTAGATACTTTTCAAAAAGCTCAGATCTTTCATGTCTACGATAATCTTTAAAGGCATCGGATTTCTCAAGATACAACTTTGTGCATTCGTCATCCCATCCTGGGGTGGCGGGTCTTCTTTTGAGGGATGCACTTGTAACACGTCGTTTCTGAGCTTCTAATGCGCTTTTGTAGATTAGCTCGGTAAAGAAACGATACTCTTCCAGTGGTGGTAGAGGATCGGTAGAATCAATACCAAGAGTTACCGCCGATACAAATTTTTGCCAATCAATGTTCCTTGTGAGGTCAAAAGGAACTTGAATTGACTGATCTGTTTTTAGACGACCACTTTTGATTGAAATAATAATTGGCAAGTGATCACTACCATGGGGATCATTGATAACCTTCCACAGACAATCTAATGATAGTGAGTTAGAGCACAAAGAAATGTCAAGACGGCTCTCTCGAGCAGGAGGGTTTGCTATACGTGTTGCTTCACCAGTGTTCAAGATAGTCAAGTTGAAATCGTCGCACAAATCATAGAAAATACCCGCTCTATTGTCATCGTATGATTCGCCCCAACCAGTACCGTGTGAGTTCATATCGCCCAGTATTAGAACTGGAGATGGAAGGATATTAACTGAACTCCAAAGCTGACGGCGGTTTATGGAAGTCCTTGGAGGGACATATACAGAAGCTATGCAAAGATCTTTGTTCTTCACATTTATTTGGCAAGCGACAATTTCAATGCCTGAAATTATTGGGATTGACATTTTATAGAAGGGGTAGCACTTTTTGATCCCCAAAAGTACGCCACCATATGAATCATCTCGGTCCAGGCGGATAATGTTAAAATCGTGGAAGTTTAGTTCATCTTCAGAAGAAAGCCAAGTTTCACAGAGTGCAAATATATCACAATCAGAATTGTGAATCAAATACTTGAACGAGTCTAATTTAGGTATTAAACTACGACAGTTCCATTGTAATAAAGTGATCATATCTTGATCCTCACTCGACGAATTATCCATCGAAAGATATGAATTCACCAATGAGGGGCCATGATGCAGTCAATTGCTTGAAGTAGTTTCCGACTATAGGAACAAGCAGGTCAATAAGCCCTCGAAGTGGCGATTCGTCGGGAAAGCCGAGGGCATTCAAAATATTATCCACAATGTCCTTAAATTTAATCTTTCCTCGCTTGGACGGGAGAGTTTTCTTTGAATTGCGAGTAGACGTGGTGTTTATTTTTGGTAACCTCTTACGATTACCTTTATAAGGTAGCGGCGGGGTGGAAAAGCTGCAGCAAGGATCAGCTGGAGCAGCAATTACCGATTTGTTCGGCTTTTTCAATGAATCCCCGCTACCTTCAGATTTTTGCATGCTTTTGAGAGTGGTTTTATTTTTTTCCGGCGCACTCCCGGGGAGCTAGTCGGCTTCCTTTTACCGGGGGCGTGTACCTCCGGAGACTCACTCTCATCTGCTATGTCAGAGTCCAGTTCATCGGAAGACAAAATCTCAAAAGTGTTTTCATTTTGAGCGGCTGATGCCAACGAAGCAGAGGTTCCATTTTGCAACTTAACCATTTCTGCAAACGTCAGCTTGGAGCGTTCTTTTATTGAACGCTTCACATTGTTGGTACGCTTCTTGTACGCGGGGCAGTCCTGCAAAGCATGAAGAGGTTCTTTGCCACAGTAAGCACATTTAGTTGCTTCCTGTTGGCAAGCACCCTCCATGTGGTCTTGGCTACATTTGCCACAACGGGGCTTGTTGTCACAAAAAGCAGCTGTGTGACCCAATTTTTTGCAGTTGGTACAATTATATACCCTTGGTACAAAAAGTCGCACCGGGAAAAAAACATTTTCAATTTCTAAGAACTTTGGGAGAACCGATCCAGCGAAAGACACCTGTAATGAGCCTGAAGGGGAATAAGTCTTTTGACCATCTACCGTGGTCGCTGAATACAATATCCTGCAACCCAGAACGTCCACGGTAGATGTAGCAGCATTTTGAAGGCGCCCCATACCTTCCATGACGTCATCACACGTCAGGCTCACTGCAGAGACCACGCCGTCTATCTCCACATCTCGAGATGGGATGTAGACGTAATACTCTTCATTGTAACCCTCGTCGTCAGCAATCTCATTTGCGACTTTATATGTGAGTGCAGTTATACGCAGTTTGTTCCGATTGACCTGATGAAATTCGGTCCCCGGGAAACGACGCGTCAACGTTCTTTTAATCCCTAAGAAGTTTAGGGCTTTCTCTTTCTGCCGAAAGTAGACAACCCAAGGCGAAGCAGAAGACGCCTGGTAATGACGCTTTCTTACTTTATCATTGGGAGGCTTGACGCCCCCCTGTCCTTCATCCATATGAAATTGAAAACTTTCGTTAAGAAGTAATTAATTTTTTATTAAAGAACCACCCTATGTGGAACGATTCCACTGGGGGAGAGACAGACGATTCACAAGCAAACAGTCAGAGGAATGGGTATACAAAAAAACAGATACGTGCTATTATTTGCCCTTACCGTTTCTACTGCTTATACTGTTGCTGCTCTGCCACAATAGATGCCGGTCGTACACACCGTCCGTGCGGTGGCTCACTGCTTTCTGCTGGTTATTGTTTCCAGTCCGTGTGATTGCCACTGTTTAACCGTTCTTGCTGCTAACTACGGCTAATTTTGCGGCAAGAATTTCGATATCGTCGAAGCGGGTTAATGTTGAACAGACCGACCGTAGGCTTCGCCAGGATCGGCTGCTTCCTTCCGAAATGCGCGAGTCACCTAAGGCACAATAACTACTTGCAAATAAAAAACTTTTCGCGGTGAAAAAATACTTTCAATGCAATGCCATGTGACGAGACAACAGACCCTGATGTTGCTCATTCGCTAGCAGAACGTGGAATGATTATCAGTGTCTTGGACATGGTACACTTAGTCTCGTGGAACCCGTATTAAGCACGACTTCCAATGTGTCTCCGAACTGCTCTTTTGGAGTTGTTATCTGACGTCACCAATGATCCGAGGTACACAAATATGGTGTATACGATTCTATAACATTCCCCAGAATGCACAATTCCCCAGAATGTACCATTCCCCAGAAAAGACGATGAAATTAGTAATTTATCACTTTTTTTCGTCATTTGATAGATTGTACGACTTTTCCCCGAAAACCATTCCCCCGAAAGTTATTGCCCCGAATGTAACTTTTCCCCGAAATACAATTTTCCGAATGGCACAGTTCCCAGAAAATAATTTCCCCGAATCTGCGCATCTTCGCTGGTTAACTACTTTTATCGAACAATACCACAATAAACATATTAATGTGCGTCGAATAAAGACAATAGTTTGACTTTCGTTAAAACAAAATGTACAGGTCAAGCTCCTGAAATCGGTGTAATCCTATTTCAGCAGCTTTTGACCTTTCCATGTAGTTTTAACGAAAGTCAAACTTTTGTCTTTATTCAACACATATTGATTTCTTCGTCGCCTTTCGTCAAGGAGTCGCCATGTGACTAATATGTATGGCATGGGGACGCATGATATCTTTTCTTTGTTTGTATGGAGTTTTTTTTTAACGGTCGTACCTATCAAACAAACACACACATTGTATGCAATTAGCTCCATGGATCATACCATATTATACGTCAATGAATGAACTATGATTCAAAGAAGGAAAATTTCTTGCGACAAGCAAAATTTTCCCTTCTTTGTATCACAGCTCGTTCTTTAACGTTTTGAAGAATAAATATCTTACTAATTTATCAAAGCGATATCTCATTGTAATAAAATTGAAGAACTTACGAATTGAAGGGAAAATTTTGTTTGTTGCAAGAATTTTTCCTTCTTTTTATCTTAGTTGATTATTTGACGTATAACTTGGTATGTTCCATGGAGCTAATTGCATACAATGTATGTGTGTGTGTGTGTTGGATAGGTACGAACGTTAAAAAACTCCATACTAATAAATAAAAGATACCATGCGTCCCCATGCAATACATGCTATAGTCACTTTGCGAATCCTTATAGGCCGAATCCAAAATTGTATGGAGCAAGAAGAAAACACCATACACCGATTTCAGAATATTCGGTAAAAAATTACAGGAAATCTGTGAAAAATTACCGAACTGTTTACCGAACGTTCAGCTGTTGAGATTTCGGTGAAATAATCTTAGTGTGTGACCTTTACATGTAGTTTTAACGAAAGTCAAACTATTGTCTTATGCGAACCCCACACGGTAAGAAATATTGTCAATACTTAAAAGTATTGACAATAATATTGATGATGTGAATACAGATATATTGTCAATACCGATGTATTGACATCAATATAAAATGCATTGGCAATACGATTATTGTCAATACAAACAGTCGTGTAGAGTCCACTTTAATTCGACACACATTGATATGTGTATTGTGGTATTGTTCGATACAAGTAGTTAACCAGCGAAAGATTTGATGAAACTAACACAATTTTCCCTTCTTTATATCAAAGCTCAGTCTTTATGCTCATTACAATCAGATATCAATTTGATAAACCGCCAAATGTCATAACAAGTCATAACCACAAACTTTATCTAGGGTGTTGAACGACTTTGTTTTGTTTATCAATATTCAGCAAAGAAATTTTTTCAATTTCATATAGATAAGTTGTAACAAACCCAAGGATCATATTTAAATAGATCGCACAGTGTAAATTGTATCTTTCGGGGAACTAGTTCTTCGGGGAAATAGTTTTCGGGAAAACGTTCCTTTCGGGGAACTGGTTCATTCGGGGAATCGTATTTCGGGAATAAAACTTTCGAGGAAAGTGTTTTCGGGGAAAAGTCGTTGGTTATAGAGTTACCACCAAGGTGGCTACATATACACGCTAACTTCAGTTTACTCACAGGGTGAGTCGATCGGACTCACTTTCGTCCGATGTATCGAGTTGTCAAAAACTGAGTAAACGAGAAATGTCAAACTGAGTAAAAGCCACTCAGTCAGCAAAATCCTGGAAAATGTCAACCATGTTGGAGGAAACGTCCTACAAAACGGGTGAATGTTTCACTCAAAACAAGCGGAAATTCCTTCAGGTAAGTAGAAATTGCTTAGGGCAATGGTGTTGAACCCTTTTCTGCTCCGGTATAATGAATCAATAATTGTTTACAGTTCCAAAACAAAACAAAATCAAAACAAAAACCCCATGCAACTGAAAATATCGCTGAGTGGATTTGAATCAGTCTTCGTGAGAACGTCGTTTACTCAAAAGTGAGTCAACATAAGGCTACTCAATTTTGAGTAGCCCTACTTGCCGCTGAGATGAGTACATTCGACTCAATTTTAAGTTGACCAGAATAAGCGTGTAGGTGTTCTAATGTGTCAAATTCGTGATTCAGCCATGTTGGATTTTTGTATGGGACAGCGACCGAGTTTGTTTACAATTTGCTCTAAAACCCCCCGCGACCTCCTCGTCTATATGGTGACAAAGCTGTATCACCATTTATTTACCCACAATTGACGAGTGCACGGATGGATTTGAGTTCACTCACTCGACAAAAAGTGACGCAACAGCGGGGCCCTGTTTACTAAAAATGAACACATATATGTTCATTTTTAGTAAACAGGGCCCCGCTGTTGTGTCACTTTTTGTCGAGTGAGTGAACTCAAATCCATCCGTGCACTCGTCAATGGTTACCACTATTGACCTTTTTGACGTTTAATCATCTTTCTCTATCTAGCACACATGGATGAATGGACGGTTTGTTTTCCCACTAATCTGTTTCCCTCTTGCTCGCACTCGTTCGCTTTAAATGATACAGTACAAGGTGACTACAATAATACCCACCATGATACAGTAGAGTGCGCCGATCAAACGTCAAAAAGCTCTATACTACTGCACCATTTATGTCGAACGAGTGCGAGCAAGAGGGAAACAGATTAGTGGGAAAACAAACCGTCCATTCATTCATGTGTGCTAGATAGAGAAAGACGATTAAACGTCAAAAAGGTTTATATAGTGTGTAAACGTCAAAAGCAAAGGGAATTGACTATGCGCGCCACAGGTGGCGATACTACCAACTACGATACTTTAAATTGACCGTTAAATGCTTGTTAGATGAACAAATTGCGAGTGTTATGTCTATTTGTCCGTGTTGTTACGATAACGAACTAAAAACATAAGTTATTAACAAAAGATAAAGTCGATGAAGAGAATCGATCAATATGTTACTTAGGACGTAATGCATTGCATAAAATTGGCTACTACTACGACGGCCCTGTGAAAATGGTTCTCAAAAGTAACCCAACTGGAACAAGAAGAAGAGTAACTACTAACAGCTGGACACCTTATAAGTAGGCCATTCTAACATTCTACACCCTACTACCAGTACTTTCGGCTATCTTTCGAAATGATCAAGTCGAAGCCACACGCATAGACTTTCAAACATTTATTGTTACTGCCTTAAATCACCTAGGTGTAAATTATGTGTAGGTATTTTCTTTACCTTCTCCGGGGGGGGCTCAACAATGTAAAACATTCTTCCTGTTCGTATAGGGCCACTGCAACCTATAACGGACTGCTGAATCACTTTTTACATTCATTCTTTTTGTTTGTGTTTGCGTATGTGTATGTGTCCATATCCAGGTCCAGTGACCACCATCTCGTTCCATTTCCATTCCTAATCGTTTCTCGTATTCACTAGTAGTCGGTCGTTCGGCTGCTGCTATTCTGGTTTGTTCCATTTTGTTTTGTTTTTAATTTGCATGGAAACAAGTGTGAATCTGGGTGTAAAGTTATCGACTGTTTACTTCTCTATTCCCTAAAAAGTTGGTTTGTTCTTCAAGTTAGTTTGAATCTACAAAGATTTGGAAATTTGTCAGAACCTTCTCTGACGATTGATGCTACGGAAATGGTACGAACTAAGAACTAGATGTATTTAGTATCTTAATTGACGCCGTGAAACACGGTCATATTTGCGTTTTACCACTGCCTTTCACAGTAGTCAGCACTGTTAAAAAAAGTTACATAATAATTAATGTTAAAAATGATTTCAGCGAACGAAATAGAAGACTTTCTACTAATATGAAATGATCGAATATTTTTTCTCAATTTATTGATTGAATTGAGTTGTGTATTAACAATCTACTATGTGAAGAAGAGGAGCACATTAATTCCTACCAGCGCGAAAGGAACATCGAAGTTGAGCGACCAAAGAGAGTGTGTGTGAACTTAGTCTAAGCAGCAAGCATTCACAATATGATCTTATGTACGAATTAAGGGTAAAAGAACATAAAAAGCTAAAACTGTAAAATTATCTCACACAATTGTATCTAATAGATTGCGGTTCCCTAGCTGTGTACCATATATAGCTGGACTTGTGGATTTGTTTGTTTGTTTTTGTACACCACCGAGATAAGATCGAGATCCGACGATCAGGGCTGCGACGTCGACGGCGGCGAGCCAAGTGCTACCACCGGTGTCGGTCATCATTTGGAGATGCCCTTTTCGAGCTCTTCGATTTCCTTCAAAATTTCCGGCTTCCGTTTGGCCTTGTCAATCTGGTCCTTATCCGGATGGGGACCGTCGTTCGATTGTAACCGCTCTTCGATGAGTTCAATTTCACGAATCTTCTTACGTAGTTTACGCAACTTTTTGCTGAGATCAGTCTGACCATCGCCGACGTTATTGGCCGTAAGCTGCAGACCGTTCACAGCCTTGGTCACTTCTTCAATCCGTTGCTGTTGAGCCTTGGGGTTTTTGTGATTCTGAAATGCGTTGTTGGGCATTAGATGCAAGCAGTACAAAGCATAGCGATTACCTGTTGTGATTGCTGCTGCTGCTGTTTACGGGCTTGTTTTTGATCTTCCTTTTGCTTCTGCTCCAGCAGCACATCTGGCAGTTCGATGGCTTTTTTCTTCGGTTTAGCATTCGTAGGCTTGGCGCGTTGCTGATTAAGCTTGTTATCACCGTTCAAAATGAGCAATCCTGGTACAGGGTTCTGTGGTGGCCGTCGATTTGCTTCCGCTTCCCGCTGTTGCCTGATTCGTTGCTCCTTCTCTCGCTTCTCCTTGGACTTTTGAGCCATCTCTGGCGTCATTCCCGGAGGCAGGAGCGGTTTCTGGGCGAACAACTTCCCTTTACTCTCATACAAGGGAACTTCCTCCTGGGGGACATAGCCATCCCGGACTCGTCTTGGTTTCCGCCAGGTTCCGTCAGGACGCTGTGTAGACGGAATAAACTTCCCTACGGTGACACCAGAGATCACGTAACAATAATCCACAGAGAAGCACCCACCAACCAACTCCAAACTTACCTTGACTATCGGTCTCGTATGTAGTCATTGTTCCAAAAATCTTCACCACATTCACTTTCCGATATCAGCCTCAAAACACTGCAATCCGAGAGGGCAATAATTATTTATTAGTAAATCAAAAGGAGCAACCCCACGGACGGGAGACGAAGCGCCAACCTTTCTTTCTTTTTAGTGCACCGAATTCGGAAGCGAAAACTCCACCCTGCCACCTTGGAAACTGCACCGTCGACCGCCGGAGCACTGCCGAACGAACGGGAAACAGCAAACAAACCGGAAGGACAGATTTATTTTCTCACAAATAGCAGCGATTTTTCTGCTGTTGTGAAAAATGCAATCCTTCTTTTTTTGCTTCGCTTTTTTCCGTCCCCGCGACGAAGAACAAGCGCATCCACAGTGAGAAAAAAACAACACGGCTGGCTTTTGCTGATGGCTGACGTTCGTGCGACAGTTCGACTGTCATTTGATAGGGAGTACGTTCGATGGTGATGAAGTGCGTTCGCAACGGTTAAGGTGATTTCCCCTATATAGGCAGTGCCTCTACACGGAGAAACGAAACAACTCAATATTGAGATAAAAAGTACTTAAAAATAAGTACTTCTCCAACACTACTGTTTTGGATACATTTCTGTTCTCATTGATGAGTACTTTAAGCTTAATTTTAAAGTACAACAATAACTCTTATTCTTCGTTAATTATGCTAAAACAGTAGTCTTGAGAAAGTTCTTACTTTTGCGATCTTTTTATCTCGATTTTGAGTTGTTTCGTTTTTTACGCTATGAAAGTATCCAAAATCAAGTGTTGCGATTGCACTTGGTTTTGGATGAAAAATCGCAGCGTGCGCCATATGCATTTTGGTTTTTTTGTCGCCTGGCGAAAGCAACAGATCAACAGTTGAAACTACATATTTTTTAGATATTAACCTGAACGGACTATTCAATTTGGTAAGTTTACTTATCCCACATGGAGAGTTATAAAAAAATTGAAATTTGTAATTCCCAGGATCCCAAGAGATAAGGAATGGTGTCCGGATCTGACAATGGAAGTGTCCCGATTTCCGGTGGGCATAGTCCAGTATTCGCGTCACTTTTTTCCGAACAAATTTGCCAGCGTGATCGGCAAAGGAATTCTGAGATTTGGAGCATCTCATATGCTAAGAGTAGGTGGTTAGCTGATTGAAATTTGCTGTGCAAATAGATATCTAAAGTAAAATTCATTTCTAGATCCTAACACTGGACTGATGGCCTGATGGTGCCTCAACTGATGCAAGCCCGATTCCAACGTCCTATTGAATTTATCGGAATACAGAAAGGACAACGAGTTTGCTGTAAAGAAGATTGAAATATACAGCGAAAGGGAGTATCATTTCAACCAATGTTTTATTTTGATAATTTTAAGTTGGATGAGTATTTATAAAAAAATAAATAGAACTGCTATAACTGATTTGTAATGCTTAATTTAAACATTGTAGAAAAATTACAATCAAATTTTCTGGAAATATTTTCTAAATCAGTAGTCGATATTAAGTTCTTTTTATCATATATTCGCTTTTCATGAAACAGCTACATTTCACTCAACACGATGTCTTTGCAAAATACTCAAAATTGGATACTTCGCAAAGAACGCAGTTTTGACTGGTTGCACTTAGCTGTCAAGATGAGTACAAAACACTTAATGTTGAGTCGTTTCGTCATCACTAGATGAATGTGAAACGTCATTTCAAATATAAGGACCATACATAAATAATGATAAAATTTGAAAGGGACCGGGGCTAATCACAAATTACATCCCCAAGGTAACTGAAATAAACACTAGTGTTCACCGGTTGGTACAAGTATTATTAAGCATGCAGTTTAATAAAATCATCAAGATGTCGTTTCTTCAATAGGCAATTGTTTGTTGGGTATACACAGCAAAAAAAATGTAATATCGATCAATGTAATTCAAGCTGATGTATGAAATAATAATGTAATAGCAAAAAGCAGATACAATATTACATCAATGGATGTAATTTTGTTCGCAAAATCGATGTACATCGTACAACATTATATTACACAACCGATGGATTGACCTCCCTAATAAACGTGTACCATATACTGACGATATCTTAGATGGTGCGACCATACCATATAAAATTGGGATGATATCCCGAATTGGCGGTTAGGTGCATCTTATGGTTATTGTTTATGCGGGCTGGTTCCAGCAATTTTTTTTTGTGTAGTATAGATATTATAAATTCCATAGATAAGCGGAGGCAAAGTATAATGTAGCCAAACTAACTGTCAGCTAGTGTAGCCAAACGAGCATGACGTCATCATGGTGTTGTTTGAGGGATAAGTATTGTAATATTATGAGCACAAAACGCTTTCCACACTCCACATTCCGATTTATTTCGCGGACAATGGAAGAAGAAAAAATAAAGCAACCCATTCCTCGATTAATTATTGCAAAGATTTGCTTTGCATTTCATTTTGAACTTTTACGCACGAAACAAAACAAAACTGCACAACGAAGAGCTCTATGATGGCATGAACTTTTTTCACGGTTTTCAGATCATTTATTTTTCAGGGTTGCTAAAACAACTTTTCGTGCCTCCGCTTATCTATGGAATGTATACATATAGTATATAGTATATAGTATATAGTATACATATAGTATCTATACTGCTCATAAAAGCATAACTGTCCCATATGAATAGGAAATCAAGCAAAGATGGGACAATTATGCAAGTATCGGCTGTATAGTCTATAGCTATTTCAGGGGAAACATGTCAGAAGGGTCTAACTCGAAACGTAAACAATGACTTGGATCGTCGGTTTCTTACGAATGATAACACACCCACTCAATCTAACTAAATCATCTGAAAGAGCAATGTTTGTTCTATGAGCTGGTGTAGTCAGATTCCGTGGGTTTGTGGTCATGCAAGAGAAATCGACGTTCAAAGTAATTGTTTACGTTTCGAGTTAAATCCTTCTGTCATGTTTCCCCTGATTTTGCGGGGATGTGTTGTCATTCTTTACTTTTCGAGTTAGACCCTTCTGGCATGTTTCGCCTGACTAATAAAATAACACGCTCGGCGCGCTCGGCACACTGATAAAATTTCAAAGATTGTTTTTATGTGTCCCACACATGATTTTTTGCAATGTGATCAACACATGATATCTATGTGTCAAGCACATACTTAATATGTGTACACATAAAAGCCATGTGTAACCACACATACTATACATTTGACTCATAAATTTCATGTGCGCTTCTGGGTGGATTCTGTTTATGTGTGGTCACATGAAAATCATGTGGAATTTTACATGGAAATTCGTCAATAAAAATGTGTGGAATTCTATGAGTGCACAGAAATTCAAAACAACCCAAAATTAAGTTCTTTTCACTCATCTCCCATGTTCCGTACGATAAGCCAAATTTGGGTAAACCGGCTCAAAGTAGTTTGCATTTAAGCACGGCAAAAAAAATTACCCATCGCTAAGTTATTTTCAATTTTTTCTACCCAAAATTAAGTTCAATTAACTCAAATTTGGGTATATCGCATATTACTCAATTTTGGCTTCTCGTACGGAACTAGACGGTTGAGTCGAATCTTTCGTTCTATTTTTGACAACAATAGCGAGAGGAAATGAAACGGGCAGAGGTCAAATAACTCAAATTTGAGTTTAAAAAACCCAAGCGGTGGGTAGTTTTGTTTTTCTGTGTGCATAGCTTAGAAGCGATGAACGTGCTCCGTTTCGTCATCAAAACAAAAATCTTCATCCAAACGTCACCTGTCGAACCAAACGAGTGGACGTCTTGCAAAAAAAAAAAATTTCGAAAAATTTGTGCAAATTTTTTTCGAGGAAGCTTTAGCTAGAAAGGTAAATCCTCAGGTTAAAATCAAATCTTATCCAACTCTGTAGGTCAAATCTGGCAATTTCCAGGATTTCCGTGGTGAATCTTGTGTGTGTGTCGTCCCCGTGTGTGACAGGAACAACTTGAACAACACTGAAGGTGAAAGCACTTTTTTTTGCTTGAACTATAAATTCAATCCAACATCAGCTTAACAAATTGCATCACTTTTCCAAGTCTTCAACTAACAAATAAAACTAGGAGACTACAGCCATTAGCAGTTTCTAATTAATTGATAATATTTACTCGTCGCACTTCCCACAGTTTGTCTTGTCGGTACCTAACTAGTTGAGTAAGAAAGAGTTTAAGAACGAAAACGATGGAGTCTACAGGAGCTCCCCCGAAACAGGTACCTTTGGCCATGTGTTTTAGTGGCTGTGATTGTTGATTCGTGTTTCCATTCGTTTGAATGATCTTTTATTTCTCACATAATGTCTAACATCTTTGCACGTTGCTCTTCTGCACTATTTCCGTGTATTTTTCAAAATTTGCATGTCTTTTCTGTAGCGTAGAGGAACATAATTAACTTGGAGGTTCTAGTCGCACAGTTTGGCAGGATATATTTGAAACTAACGTTTTGATTTGTGCATTTGTTTAGAAACGGCGCCCGCGAAAGCACAAGCCAAAGCAGCAACCGGCTACGCAGGAAGTGACCGTCCAGCAACCAGTTGCTGTTCCGAGTCCACCTAAAACTGAAACAAACAAGGAAAACATTCAGCAGCAGGAACAGACCGCTCCGCTCAATCGAAATCCAAGCAAACGCCACCGAAAACGAAACAGAGGAAAGAAACCGGAAAGCCAAGACCAACAGGTACAGCAGATTTCTCTGGAAGAAATTTTCCCCGGGACGAAGGTTTATACGTTAGACAATCAGACGGTACCGAAGAAGGAAGAAACTGTGCAACAGCCTACGAGAGGCGATAAAGGCTCAAAGCAAGGGAAAAGGTCAAATTTGGTTAAAAATCAAACAGTTGAGAATACTGAATCAGAACAGATATTTCCTGCGATCAAGACTGATTCGCTGGTAAGTACAACTAACGCATTGTCTGTGGAAGACATCCGATCGGGAGATATCTTCCCTGCCGCTGATATTTATTCTTTCGAAAATAATGCTCTACCAAGAAAGGTAAAGATTGTACAGTGGGTTCAGAAAGTGTCGCATCAAAAGCCGATTAAAGCCATCGCTGGCATCGAAGACATTTCACTGCAGGAAATCTTTCCGGTAGATCAAAACCGAAGTAAACCATCCCCAGAACAGCAAACTATGGACCCTCCCAAGACTGAGAAATCCCGAGAAGAGGTGCTTGTCGAGCGAGAGGCCAAGAAAGCTGCTAAGGCAGCGGTTAAAAATAAGGATAAGGCCCCACCGAAACCATCTCCGCAGCCAGTTCCATTGCAAAAGTCCAGCACGGACTCGAGTATTTCTGAAAAGCTCGACAAGCTGCATATCTCAGAGCCGTCCTGTAAGACAGCGGCTAACGCTCAACCAGTTGCTACCGCACCAACACCAGATGCTAAGCAACTAAGTAAGGCCGAACGTAAAGCCCAATTCGAGGCTCAGAACCTTAATTTGGCCAAGGCGAAGCCGGAAACTAAACCAACATTATCGAAAGCTGAACGACGAGCTGTACAGGAAGCACAAAGAGCTGCCAAGGCCGTAGCTCAGGACAAGAAAACTGCTCCTGCCGTGAAGGCTAAAGCAGAACCTGCTGTCAAACCTTTAGGAGCTAAAAAGGAAGGTTCCCCACAGAAACATGCAAAGAAATCTGCCAAGGCAACAGACGCGCCCCAGCAGCAGCAACCGCACATGGTCAAACTGTTCAACCATCTGTACATGAAGAAGTTTGCTGCATCGGAGATTGTCAACTCGACCCAGCTTCATCCGGCGATCACCAAGCTGGGTCTGCAGTATGCCGAAGGCGTCATGGCAGGTTCCAAAGCACGGTGCCTGGCCTTCCTGAAGGCCCTGATGCAAATGATCAAGGATTATGAAACGCCCCCGGAGAAGGAATTTTCTCGCGGTTTTGAAGAGGCCCTCAACCCGAACATTACCTACCTGCAAAAGTGCCGTCCATTTTCCGTCTCGATGACCAATGCACTAAAGTACATCAAGATGTACACCCGGCAGCTGAATGCCAAGGAATCGGACTCGGATGTAAGTATTCTGTAAATTTGAATACAAATCCAAATCATACAAGCGTTCATTTTCAGCAAAAGGAATTCCTCCTGGACGCCATTGACACATACGTTCGGGACCAGATCGAGAAGGCCGAGGAAGCGATCAGCATTTCGGTGCAGGACAAGATCTACGACGGCGACATCATTCTCACTTACGGGTGCTCATCCCTGATCAAACACATCCTGGAGGAAGCGAACCGTCGGCAGAAGAACTTCCGCGTGGTCATCGTAGATTCACGACCACGCAACCGGGAGCACGAAATGCTTCGCCAGCTGGTGGTCCAAGGAATTGACTGCACCTGTGTACTTATCAACGCCATCAGCTACGTGATGCCGGAGGTTACGAAAGTGCTGCTCAGCGCACACGCTCTGCTGGCAAACGGATGTGTCATGTCCCGTGTTGGGACGGCCCAGATCGCACTGGTTGCCAAGTCCTACAACGTTCCGGTGTTGGTGTGCTGCGAAACGCACAAGTTTAGCGAGCGCGTGCAGACGGATGCTTTTGTTTACAATGAAATTGGTAAGCTCCTTGTCGGTGGTGCTTCCGAAAATAGCAAATTAATCCCGCAATTTCAGGAAACCCCAACGACCTTATCCTGCACTCGGGAACCCGGCAGAATCGATCCTGCAATCCGTTGGCCGATTGGGAATCGATCAATCACCTGACGCCGCTCAACCTGCACTACGACGTGACGCCGCCGGAGCTGGTGACGGCCGTGGTGACTGAAGTGGCCATCCTGCCCTGCACTAGCGTTCCCGTTATTCTGCGCATCAAACCTTCCGAGGTTGGCTACTAGTTTCGAGGGGTTTGGGATGAGATGGACTGTTTAAAATATCGAAATTTATAATAATAAATGCAAAAATTATGTCAGTATCATTTGCTTCCAATTTTAAACCGTTAATTCAAAAAAAAAAATCAGATTATTTCAGAATGTTGCTGGATGCTTTATTATAATAATTCACGTCACATTCATATGAAGTGGTACAGTGGTTTTGGGAATAGAATTGATCATTTTAGATGGTCAAGTTTTGAACCCACCACAGCATGCTTTTAGTGCTACTGTATATGGACGATCACATGTAAAATACTGTGGTAGCCACAGCATAGTTCCTACAAAACCTCAGCATTTTCATTGATCCATTCCGACGCGATAGTGATTCATATTCTTAAATCGTGGAATTATCGGACCAATTAATTTTTATCGGAATGTCAATATCTGAATATTTGATAATTACCTAGTTTTGTATTTTCTTTTTATAAATTTGTGGTCAATCCGAGAAAAAAAATGGTTAAACACATTCTGCTCAAAATTGGTAGAGCTACCCTGAATGCAAGACATTCCCGCAACACGTTCACAGCTGCAATTGCATTGGAAACTGGATTTAGGGGATTTAGATGCCCCCACCTACCATGTTGCGAACGCCCATGCAATGCTCATTTCAGTAGCTGTTGTCATGCGTGCACGGTTAGAAAAAAGTACCCAAAATAAAGTTCTTTTCACTCATCTCGGCACTATAACCAGCATTTTACGAGCGCTTATGGCAGCCGAGGATCACCAGGAATATAACCAACAATCAATACGAAACTAACGATTTTAAATTGGCTCACCACTTTAGTAGCCTATTGGTCCCAAGCAAACGATTAACGTACCCTATTCTAGTCGAAATTCTAGTACTACGCAATGTTTGTTTTGATTCGCTATGAAAGTTTGACAGATAAAATTAGGGGTTCGTGATTTTTCCTATGTTTCGAGAGTACCAGCAACAATCAATACGAAACTAACGATTTTAAATTGGCTCACTGCTTGACTAGCCTATTGGTCCCAAGCAAACGATTAACGTACCCCAATCTAGTCGAAATTCTAGTACTACGCAATGTTTGTTTTGATTCGCTATGAAAGTTTGACAGATAAAATGAGGGGTTATTGGTTTTTCCTATGTTTCGAGGGGTGAAGCGATTAGCTTGGCACCGAAGATAGTACCAGAGCTGAGTCAAAAAGTTGAGCACGTTATTTCGGGACCTTCTAGTCTTAGAGTTACCTCTATGGTACCAGAGCTGAGCCAATAAGTTGAGCACAGTTCTTCAGAACTTTTTGGTCTTAGAATTACCTCTATGCCATTATCAAGTATTGGGAAATTGCCGTAAAAGCTCTACGCAGATGTCACCACCACAGTTTGATTTTGTCTGTGGTTTGATAATGATAATGCTGACAGGCTGCATTCCTATAAGGGGCTGTTCATGAACTACGTAGACAGTTTTGGGGGGGGGGGGGGGTGGCAATTATCCACGGCACTTCCATTTAAAAAAAATATTGTATGGACAATTGTCTACGCAGGGGGAGGGGGGTCAAGAATCCCTAAAAACTGTCTCCGTAGTTAATGAACAGCCCCATTCTAGGGGCAGATTACTTGTGGTGCATTTATTATAACAAAAAATAAATAAATGCATTTTGACCAGAAACAAAAAAATTAAATACAATTTTTCAGTGCATTTTTTTTTGCGTGATGCTCTAAGGCCGTTCGCAATGCTGTTGTATTTTATAAGGACTGTTTCAATTTGAAACTAGAACAGAAACGCACCTCTCGCAATGCTCAGTTGCAGTTTCATTATTCGAGCACTATTTTGCACCAGATTTGCAACTGCTCGACTATTCTGTTTTATTTCTGAGCGAGTTTGAAACACGAATGGAACTCTGTTTCAAATTTCTGTATGTATTTAAAGATGTTTCGAAGAGCTTCACAAAAAAACTCTATGAACTTCATAGAGAACAGGAAATTTTATGGAACTTGGTGATTACAAACATCTTTTAGAACTGTGCGTTGCGCTGATCGTGTTGCAGTTTTATTTTTGACAGTTTCAAATTATAGAATTGTCAAGTCGTTTAAAACAATTTTGAAACTCAGCATTGCGAACGGCCTTTAAGTAACAGTTCCAGTTCCTACCAAAACATGTTGTTGTTCACATCGGTTCGTTCAAATCCACACTCCTGACTCGAGCATTTTTTTTCCTGAAGCTCCTCGACCGAGAATGCGGAAAAAATCCGTCGAAATTCCCTGTAACCGATGGGAGCATCACAACATCGCAACATTTGAACATTTGAAAACACTGTCGAATCTCCCCGGAACATCCGCAACATACAAAATATCCACCAAAATCATGCTATGGTATTCTCTTCGCCGTGAACACGCATAAACTTACTAGAAACTCTCTGCAACCTCCTCCGGTAGCAACGGAAATCTCAAACGAAATCGTGCTGCCTCCGGAACTTCCAGTGTCAACATCGAAAACCTCCTTCGAAATCGTGCTAAGCCCGCTTCACCGAGAATGCGAGGAAATGACTTAGAAATTTCCTGGAACATCCGTTGTTAGCCCCGACAATATCGACCGAAATCGTACTTCTCGACCGTGCACACAAGAAAACCTCCACCGAAATCGTGCAGATCCTCATCCGCTAAGAAAATTCCGTCGAAATTATTTTGAATCTCCGCTGGAAGCATCAGAAATCGCCACCGAAACCGTGTAGAACCCTAATAAACAAATACCATACACGAACTGTATCCCGGATGGGTAAACTATCCCTTAAATGGTTTGGAAGGTACCCCGAACATGTCGTTAAGCTCTCTTTTATGGTTATTTTTATTAGGGAACCTCGTCCGCCATGAACGCAAGAGAATGCCATCGAAATTTTGTATTTTCGCTTTTTTTAATTGGTCATACTGTATGCAAATGTAATTGTTATTTATTAAGTCAAACGTAATTCGTAAATTACGTACTTTAGTCAAACGACGAACTAGAAAAACTTTCCTACTTAGAATCTGCGTTTGCCGCATCTAGAACCGTCTCCAAAAGAATGCATGCAGAACCTCGTCCACCGAGAATGAGAGAAAACCCGTTGGCAGCATCCAAACTCTTCACTGGCCGAAGCTCCTCCGAAGACAATGCGTGGAAACACCGTCGAAACTCCCTGGGAACCTCCGTTGGCAGCGCAGCATATAAATTCTCTAGTCCACCGATGGATAGACGATTTTTCTTTTCATGTTTTGTTTGTATATCTTGCTTTGTTTTGACGTTCACATCCCACTGAATGGTTGATGTAAAAGATGGAAATTAAATGCAGGCCCCTATAGGCCCCATTCCTATAGGAAATTCCTCGGTTGCGCTTTTTGATAGAATTCTATTCGCCAGACTCTTAATGTAGCGACTATACTGTTACGCCCTAATTCCAGCTCTATCTAGAATTGAGCATACACAAATTTTATGAAAATAATCTGGCCACCCTGTCAGCTGTCACGTTTGCCGACGACGTTTCGCCACGTAATTTTTGTGTGTTTTCAACAATCGTTTGCGGCCGGGAAGCTCTTACTACCGATTTTCCGTGCAATTTTCGTCAACTAATTACCAATAAAAGCAGCAAACGTAAGTACTAGCTCTGGTGTCCGGTATATTTATTCATAATTGCAGCCGAGTGGGTTATAAAGTTTCACTTATTGACAACATTTTTTTTATTCCACCCCAAAAACAACAGCGCCCGCAATGGATTCGATGATTCGCTACATCTCGCCGGTGAATCCGGCCGTGTTTCCACATCTGGCCAGCGTGCTGCTGCTGATCGGAACCTTCTTCACGGCGTGGTTCTTTGTGTTCGAAGTTTCCCGACCGAAACTAAGCGGCAAGGAAGGAGTCATCTTCAAGGAACTGCTGATTTCGCTGTTCGCCTCGATCTTCCTCGGCTTCGGGGTACTGTTTCTACTGCTCTCGGTGGGGATCTACGTGTGAAGTGCTTCCGTCAAGCCGCCGAAGCAACCTCACTACAACAAGAACCTCCCAAAATCTATTCCGTAAGTTTATTCAAGGGAAACTATTCTACATTTTCCACTTCCTCCGTCGCCGTCGTCGTCGTGAACTGAATGTGGAGAACGCGAAGAAGTACTAAATTTAATGATCCCCTGCGATCTCTAATCGTGTGAATCCGTGTGCCGATGCATTTTTTTTGGTCCTGTTTCGGTCGAGTTAGAAGAGAGCAGAAAGCGATTGCGCATGTAGGAGCTACAGATAAGATTTGAATAATATTAGACTTAATGGGACTAGGCGTCCAAGAGTGAACTATTCTGGTTCGATTTCTTCCGATAGAAGTGGTATTGAGAAATCCGTGGGATACAAGGGCCGGTCCGTAAAAGTCGTCAGTTCATGAAACTTATTGTAGCGCTCGCAGTCGAAATTTAAACTAACTGAGGTTATTACATTGCACTACTATTAAAATACTAATAAATTTGCAATGAAATAAATTTTTAATAATATACAAAAACTCAAAAAAAAAAAAACAAGGGCGAAACCAACTTGTTTTGTTTAGAAATTTAGTTGTTTCTTACGCCCGCTTCCTCCCGTATACATAGATAGGGCGAAACAGACATACTTTCGCAACACACGATTCCTTGCTATTACCGGTTGGTAATCTTAAAGTAACATTGTTAACCTGATCGAAATACATGAAAAAGAAGCGAAAAAACCACAACACATGAATTTATCTGGAATCCATAAGAATCTGCAAAAGGTCGATAGTAACAAACCGTCAGGAAAACGAACGTAAACGTTAAGGCGAAACAGACAATGGCAAATACAAGTGGACGAAACATAGGGGCGAAATAGTTTCTGTGAACGCAGCCGGGCGAATTATCTCGGGGCGATACAAGGTGCTATAAATCAATAATATTTTTATTTATCTCACAGTAATGCTAACGAATATTTTAATAATTAAAAATATTCTGGTTCTTGAAATGGGTTAGAGAATATTAATTTTACATTTGATTATCCTTGTTCAACATTTCAGATTCATTTTTCTCATTGCGATATTGGCCCTTAATCCAGCTCTATCTAAATATGGCCGGAATGTGGAATCCGAGGGTCACGGAGCAGTCCTCCGGAAGATCCAAAGCATCCGTACAAGTGTTGAAATGAAGGACTCTAAAGCTCAGTAAAGAAATGTATTTTCAAATTACTTGTGGAAATATAACTAAATGTGGTTCTGGGACCGGAATGAGGGTCAGTTGATGGTTCCAGAACATCAATTTATAGAACTTATTCTAGATTATTATTATTATTATTAGGAAAAACAACTGGTCGTATAACAGTTTTTACGCTTCAGTTAAATTTGTTACATACGACGATTGACACCTCCATAGAAGTTAGGGAAGGTCCATCAATTATGTCACGCAAATTTGGCCCGTTTTTAAACCCCCTTCCCCCCTTTGTCACATTTTTTGTATGGATCTTAAATTTTTTTGTATGGCTCGTAACAGTTTCCCAAACCTCCCCCCTCCCCCTAAAAGTGTGACATAATTAATGGACGATCCCTTAGGTGTCGTATGTAACATGGAGCTATGTTTTGACCGGACCGGTTGACACATACGACAAATCGTTTTTTGATTAGCAAATGAAACAAAAATGAGGTAGAGGATCCACATTTTGCCTCTAGGAAGAGTAAGAGTGTCTGGTAGCATTAAAATGAAAATTTGTTTACGGTTGTTACAAACGACACAATCAAAAACGACTCCTAATTGTTGGTCAACCAAACGGTCGATTCTCTTCATCGACTTTCTCTTTCGCTAATAACTTGGGCACAGAACCGTTTCTTGTCGTGTTTGTCGTATTAGAAGCTAGATAATCACCCCTATTCTGTATTTCGTTTCGAACGAAATTCCCATACAAAAAAATATTTTTTTGTATGAGAATTTCGTTCGAAACGAAATACAGAATAGGGGTGAATAGCTTCTTCCATCGATCTGTGTGCTGAAAAGAGCTGGGACTGTTTTAACATGGATGCAAAGAGGAAGTCGACGATGAGAATCTGTCAATGTTACTTAGGACCTAATGTATTGTTCAGCTTGAATGCTTGAATGGCTCTCAACTTAGTGTTCTTTGAGTACTTCCACAATAGTTAACTGAGAGCTTTCTCAGTATCATTTTTACATTAGTATTATTGTTTGGCAACTACAATCATACTATAATGCCCAGGGAAATCGAGAAATTTTTCAATCCGAAAAAATCCTAGGCCGGACCGGTAATCACTTAGCCGCCTCCAGCAAGGTCTTGCTTTACCGACTGAGCAAAGTGAGGGCCCCTCCTAAAGGATTACAATTTTGCTAGGTTGACTTTGAAAGGGTTCACTAAAAATAGGCAATAGCAAAAATTCTTCTCGTTGTTCTAAAGAGAACGTATCATATATTATTGAACAAATGGATTATGTTGGATAATGTCGATCCTACAACAAGTTTTTTAAAGCACATTACATTTGCGATGATTAAACATAAAATATAGCAATGATAATATTAATAATAGTAATAATTCTCGTATGCAAATGACACTACTTCAGATGAGTTGGCGATAGGGAGTTGCCATTTGATTTTAATATGAAATATTTCTAACCAATTGTTCCGCCCATCTACTTTTCATCATCGAAAGACGCCGGTCCAGCGAAACAAACCCATATTTACAACCAATTCCGCACAAAAACACGATCTATCTCCCATTAGGCATTGAAGCCTGCCTTCTGTCGGCACTTTTGCATCAGGGCTCGGAGCATAAACTGCTTCCGTGACAACTGTCGGACGTTTTTGAGGAACACTTCCAGATCGATCACTCCGCTGCGAAGTGCTTCACCCATAAAGTAGACTGCATCCTCGATGGCCGCTTCTTCGGCGTAGGCGTTCAGTAGCCTGCAATAAACAATGTTAATTTTAAAAACACGGTCCACAACATCCCTACCATGATGATGCACTTACTGCTTATACAGTGGAGCAGTAGTAGTCACAGCTTCGTCTACATCGATTCCGTCCACCTTCTCGAGGCTCTCGAGTGCCCGTTCCAGCTCCTGATCCTTGTCCTTGAGCACGGCAATGCTCTTCGTCAGTTCCTGTTCGTCCCGCTCCAATCGACCGATGATGTCATTGATCTTGGATTGACCTTCGTTTAGTTCCTGCTTTGTGCGCTTAAGCGTTTGAATCTCCGCCTGGCATTGATTAACCTTTTCCTGAATTCGTCGCTTTAGCTTATCCTCTACCGCGCTGACCAGGGAGGCCTTGATGTGTTCCTCGGTGATGGTTCCCGTACCCTGGGTCGATGGATTCTGCAATGGAATCGGTTCGTTGGCGTTTGAAAATAAAATTTTAAAATTGATCTTACATAGCCTGCATTGTATCCCGAAGGCGTAGGCATGCTTGGTGGCATGTAGGGTGGATAACTGCTACCGGCTCCGGGCTGGCCGTAACCACCACCATATCCCCCGGTTGCCGGAGGATATGGTGGAAACTGCTGCCCCGGGAATGGGCCGTAAGGACTCTGTGTGCTTGTCGGTGGCTGAGGCATAAATGATTCTGCAATCAAACGAACAATTTAACTTCTTCGCTTAAACCCTCCCAAACCAGATCTTACGTGTCGGATAGGGTGTTGCTTGCTCCTTCGATTGTTTAGGCTTCGAATACACCGGGGGAAATTCCCCAAACGTAACGATCATAACATGAATCAATCCGAGCAGATCCGACTGCATTGGGGTCCAGTCGTGCAGGTAGGGTAAATATATTTTGCCATTGTGGTCCACGTACATGGACACTTTGATGTGCATATCGGATGTTGGTTTAACGTAGCAAATCGGAGCATACCGGGGATGGGTATCCAGTAGCCAGATACATATAGGAATATGATAAGTATTTCCCTTGTACCGCACCGGGATCGTTCCCTGCAAGTTCAACAACTGCTTTACAGTTCCGTCATTGAAAACTACAAAGCTGACATTAATGATAAGGTACTTTTGCCAACAAATTGATCTGACTCACCATACTCCTCGTACCGACAGGCAAGAGCTTTGTATTGCTTCAGACAATCAACGACATCCTTCTTGGTGGCAGTTGGGTCTATATACTGTAGGGGGAAGATAACAATCACGAGATAATTGTTTAATCAATTATTTTTGCCCCCTACTAATAAATCCAGCTCCCCCACACTTACATTCACTAGCATTCGACCGATGTCCTCCATTTTTGACATCCTTTTCTATAACTTTTTCAACAATCACTACGATTGGCAAATTTTGTTTACCACACACTAGCAGCAAAAGTGAAGAAGAATTATTAATCAGCTTTTTCTCCAGAGATTTTAATTATATTCGTGAGAAATTTCCAAGCACCAAAAATTGACGATGAATGACAAAATAATCCGAAAACGTTAGGTTTGGAACAAAGCTCCTGTCATCGTCAGTGATCAGAGTCGGAGCGAGCGAAGCAAAGTTTGACAGTTGTAGCAGTGATGCCTGCTGATAAGAAAAACAAAAACATGAAACTTTACACACTCTACACAGTAAAAAAGTTGTTGAATATTTCCAAACAGAGTGCTAGGGAAAAGTACTTAATTTTGGGTAGTATTTTATCACCGTATGAGATAGCAGTGAAGTAACCATCTCCTTCAACGTATTTATACAAATTTCAGGACTTCCAAGCATCTTCTCACAGTCGTCACAGCGATAACACCAAGGACAGCACTTGATTCTGTCCGATGGAAATATGTCTTTATTGCAGTGGGATTCACAGCAAGTGTTATGTTTGTTGTCGTAACTGGATCAAAGCATTTCAAAGCCATTTACACAGAAAAAAAAGTTGTTGATTATTTTATTACATCCAAACAGCTGCACAGAGGTCATTCCGCCGGTTGTGTAGTATTACCATAGAGGTAACTCTAAGACCACTGGGTCCCGAAGAAAATCATTATTATTTTTGGCTCACTCAGTACCAGAACAACGGTCCCAAGCAGTCCCAAGCTATTTCACTCACCCCTGCATGTTCTGCATGAATCCACACACCCCTGATGTTATCTGTCAAACTTTCATAGCGAATCAAAACAAACATAGTGTAGTAATAGAATTTAAACTAGAATAGGGTACGTTAATCGTTTGCTTGGGACCAATAGGCTACTAAAGTGGTGAGCCAATTTAAAATCGTTAGTTTCGTATTGATTGTTGGTATTACCACAAACGAAGTGACAGACGGAGCGGCTCGAAAACTTTGGTGACTAACCTGCTATTGCAATTTTTCAGTGTACCACATGGCAACACCACTACTTCTGGATTGTACCACATGGCAACACTACTACTGGATTGAACTAGCATTTTCCCCAAATGTACTAGAATGTTTTGGTTCTATCTCTTTCACTCTACTTAAAACTGAAATGCATAAAAAATGACAAAATGATACACTCTTTGCACACTGTCAAAGAATCATTGTACACTAAATCAACTTTGAGCAAAACCAAAACAAAAATACTATCCCATCTGGTGAATGATGGCACAAGCTTTTAAGAAAATTCTATTACAGCGAACCACATTGTTTTAATTGATTTCTTCGCCAGTTAGTCGTCTGTCACTTCGTTTGTGGTTGTACGATGTACATCGATTATGCGAACAAAATTACATCTATTGATGTAATATTGTATTTGCTTTTTGCTATTACATCATTATTTCATACATCAGCTTGAATTACGTTGATCGATATTACCTTTTTTTTGCTGTGTGGATACATTACTCAGGAAAGGTGAAAATATTTTCCCCTTCCTAAGCTTCACGGTGAAATTTTCCACCCTCATCACTCTTTTTAGGGTTCTCACCACCAGAGGCTGAAACAATCGCTTAGTTTCTATTGGATTCGCCTATGGACTTGAACAAATACTTCGTCCACTTTTTTCTTTTTGTAATAAAATTTGATCGAAACACCTTTATTTATTTTCAATTTATTAGAATCCATTTAAAATAAATGTATTTTTCACCCATTTTACTTCAATTTAAAAAATAATTTAAAAAAAACGCCAATTTATTGACAGACCTCCCATTGAAAAGGGCATTAAAGCTTTTTGTAAACAAACCTTCGTAAGCCTTCTTCTCGCGAACCAAGGGTCGCTCAACACAGCAAAAAAAAATGTAATATCGATCAATGTAATTCAAGCTGATGTATGAAATAATGATGTAATAGCAAACAGAAGATACAATATTACATCAATGGATGTAATTTTGTTCGCAGAATCGATGTACATCGTACAACGTTATATTACACAACCTGGTTGCAGCAGCCTGGACCTGGTTGCAGCAGTTTGGATGTAATATTCAACAACTTTTTTTTCTGTGAAGCAAACTAATGTCGTTTTCGTTTTTGCGGTGTAGCTATACACCGGTGCTACACTGCCGTACACCGAAATATTTTAGGGTGTAGATATAGGATGCACCTTTGTTTACCAACAAATGATGTTGAGCTGTCAAAGACTCGCGCTTATTCCTGCTTACACTACACCGATGCTACACCGCAAAAACGAAAAGACATAACAAAATCATCGGGAAGGGGAGAGCTTCCCCTATCCGGTGATGTAGATGGTTTGCGCAAAGATGAATACTAAGATGAAACTGTCGGAAGAAAAACTTTCTATTTTAGTGTCCTCTTTCACGGTCCCTTTCATCCAATGAATACCCCCCGTATGCAAGGTAATTTTGTGGTTTTGCTGCCCCCTCGGTACACTCAAAAAATTTCACACATTTGATCGAAGTGTTTAAACACTTGATTTTTTAAATGCAAAATCACATTTTCTTTAAGTGTATTTCACCTTGGTTCGATGTGTTATACACGTTAATTTAGAGTGTTTCAAACTTTGAAATGTTGAAAATTGATGGATTTAAAGTGTTTTGCATTTCAATACGATGTGAATTGCTTGCTCAGAAAGGTAAACATCGAAAACAAGAGTTGTGACTTTATCCTATTAACCCGCCTCATATATGAGAACAACCCTGGCACAGTGAGATAGAACGAAGACTCCGGCAGCAGCACACCCAAACAGTCCATGATCGAATCCCAAATCAGACCCATTAAAAAGATATGTGAAAGCTCTGGCCTCTGGCAGTTTTGATTATATATTTGTCGTTTCAATTTTTAGAGTCGGTAAAGTAGAAGTCGATAAGGTAGAATATTGTAGAATATTGAACTATGGTGTGCAAAGCTATTGATATCACCATATGAGACACATAGAATCCAAGTGTGTCACAATTCAAATCCATAGTGTTCAGGCATGGTTCATAGCATAAGATTCACACATGAAATGGATGTGTTTCACAATAAGCGCAAAATTAAGTGTGAGACACACGATGATGGCGTGTGGAATTTTTTGAGTGTAGAGATGAAATTTTGCGCACTTTTTTATCAAAACAATCACACCAAAATCAGAGATGTCCCATTTTTTAAATACTCGATTAACAACTAATAGATTATTTTTTGTTCGCTGTGCTGCCATTTTTCCACCAATGAGAGTGCAGCTCATGTTTGAAACGATCGGTGATGATCCTCTGGAGATGTTAATGCTTATATCGGCATGATATAAACAAATATTTTACTTTTCGGTTCGTTAATCGATTAATCGATTATTCGAATGAAAATCGGCCATCACTAGATGAATGTGAAACGCTGGGTACTGCGAACACAGCCGTTTTTGTTTTGCAAGTCAGCAGGAAACAACTTGAAAATTTTCCGATATCACAAATTGTTTTGCTAATGCACTGCTCACAATTTGCATATACATGCTGTCGAAAGTTCACCCTTTGCTCCATAAATAACGTGTACATGGTGTTGGGAATGCACCTACCCACATGACTCTTATAAAGTTTGTTTGCATTCTTCCTTCAGCAGTTCGTGCAGGTTCGTTCGTTCGTTACATTGTTTACATCCGAGTATTTGAGCAAGTTTTTTGTTGAAGAATATTAGTAAAAAAATGCCGAAATGACAATATTTTCAACATTGACCACAATACTTTCTCTGCCGACGGGGATTGTATGAGAAAAGTATCACTTTTAGCACTCTAGATCGTTGGATTCTTTTTGACAGCACCAGTTGGATTCTTTTTGACAACCATTTCGTGTTTCTCCGCACCACTCGTGCACAGCAAAAAAAAATGTAATATCGATCAACGTAATTCAAGCTGATGTATGAAATAGTGATGTAATAGCAAAAAGCAGATACAATATTACATCAATGGATGTAATTTTGTTCGCAAAATCGATGTACATCGTACAATGTGATATTACACAACCGATGGATTGACCTGGTTGCAGCAGTTTCGATGTAATATTCAACAACTTTTTTTGCTGTGTGAAACGTCATTTCAAATATAAGGACCGTACATAAATAATGATACAATTTGAAAGGGACCGGGGCTAATCACAAATTACGTCCCCACGGTAACTGAAATAAACACGAGTGTTTACCGGTTGGTTTGCGTTGGTGACATATGGGTGGTGAGAAAAGTGCTTAAGAAGGTTTGTTTACAAAAAGCTTGTATGGGTTGATGCATATATTATGTCACGCTCTAAAAGGGGAGGGGGAGTCTAAGATTTTGTGACAAGCAATGCATTAGGTATAGGAAAAACGTCATGATAGGGAGGGGGGGAGGGGTAATTTTTTGCTCTATTTAGCGTGACATAATTCGGGCCCATGAATTAGATTTCATGATCAGAGATTTTCACGTCCGGTTGTATTGGTGCGATATGTGAGAGCGTGTTAGTGAATATCCGAAGAAAATACATAACAAATCGACGTCAAACTCATTTTGACATATCTACTTTCATACATATTTTAGGTTAGCCAGAGGAAAATAATAAACAACTTTACACAGCGTTTCTCCCGCTAGTGTGCGTGTGTTAAACGTCACTAATCTCTATGCGCTTTTCACATGTTGCTCTTGATATGGTTTATCCATTAAATGAGGAGGGGCACTTTTAGCGGAAATGGGTTTTTTTTTTACCCATTTGTGGGTTTTCGCGAAACACCGTGAAGATAAATCTCGCGTCACTTTTCAAATATTATTATTATTTATCTTTATTAGGGAGGCTTTCAGCCTTGGGCTGGTTCGCCTCCAATGAGACTTTTCAAATAGACCAATGTAACAAATCCACCATTTTGATAAAATCGAAGTTGAGGTTCGACAGATTATTAATTTAACTGTTTAAAAACAATACTATTTTTAATGTAGCCAGTGTTTAATAAAGTTGAAAATTCAGAAGAAACGGTGAAATCACAATTTTACTTTGAATTTCATGCTACAACATAGAAAAAACCAGATAGGACGTTTTGACAAGTAGAGTTGTACATCGGACATGTTACATTGGACG